CAGTTTGTTTTTAAATGACCTAATTAGAATTTATTTTACATTCATACATTAAGATGTGATTTGGGGCTTAAAAATCTATTGTATTTGTTTCTCTTAGTAAGCACAAATAACACATTGAAAAACTATGGGGGAATTTTCATGTTATTTTAGAAAGAAAAGCAATAAGTCAATCACACCCCCTAGCCAGTTTGGCTCAGTGGATAGAGGTCAGCCTGCAGACCAAAGGGTCAATTTTGGTCAAAGGCATGCTCCTTGGTTGTATCCTCCTTTGGGGCCTTGTTTCTCCCTGTCTTTTCCTCTCTCTTCCACTCTCTCTAAAAATCAATGGAAAAATATCCTCAGGTGAGGATTTAAGAAAAGAAGTAAATCACAGAATGAATCTTGAGTCTTTTGTTATTGCTGTTCCTCTTTTGAATTGTTTTATTTCAAGCATATATCAAACTAGAGGCCCATTGCAGGAAGATTCCTACAATAGGGCTTCCTTTGGTGGTCTGCTTCCCTCCCTTCTATCTTGCCCACTTGCCTCTCCATAGCTTCACTTGGCTTTCTTCTACACTGTCTTCAGTCTTCACTCTGTGCCTGGATATGCAAATTAGCTGACATCTTGGTTGGGTTAATTTACATATTCACTCCTGATTGGCTGGTGAATGTGGCTTGTGGGCATAGCAGAGGTATGGTCAATTTGCATGTTTCTCTTTTATTAGATAGGAAAAGGAGTAAAGTCTTCTGGTGTCAACCCTCCTGCCACCCATGACTGGGTAAATAGCTGGACTTTGGAGTCAGATAAACCAGGGTGGGGTCCAGCTCTATCACTTCCCAGCTGAGTAGCCCTGGGCAAGTTGCTCACTTTCTTTTGGTCTCTCATCTTAAAAATGGGGGATAACAATGGGCCCCAACTTCTAAGATTGTTGTGAGGATTCAATAAGATTATGCAGTTAAGTTCTCTGGAACAATGCCCGGCATATGGTACATACTCAACGAATATTGGCTAATGCTAATATTTGTTTTAATATTAATAGTCACGGTCGATAATCTTATTATTGTATTTTTATCTAAGGCAATGTTTATGTATGGGCTATTTGGAAAGGAAAATATCTACTCCTTTTGATGTTCTACTTGGCAATCGTTTGGAAAATTAAGATCAGAGGAAAACTCTAGCTTCCTCTGATTTCAACACTGAAAAACTGGAGGTAATTAAGTGTTCCCTGCAAAGATTTTTAATTCCAGTATTCAACACCAGAAAAAAACACACACAACCCTATTTCTACCCAGATACAGATGCAAACAGAAATAAAACACAGCTGCTGTTATTGCTCCATGGGCACCATCTCTACTTGGTACCAAAAGAGATAATAATCTTGCAGTATAATTTTATAAGGAGGTTACAAATCAATTACATTATCTCAAGTGTAAACACTAAGCCCTTATCCTGTTTCTGGTTAAGATAGGTTGAAACTGTGGCAGCTGCCCACCCACTATTATAAATTATTTTAGCTGACAGAAAACAGGGCTAATTAATGAAGATTTGACTAGGAGTATAGATGGCCTTATAGTTGATATTTAAGAATGATACCAGCAATATAATTGTTGAATGAGGTGTCAACACAAGGCAACCATGGACAGAAGTGAAGGCAGTGATGGACAAATCATTTGGTTCACTTTTCATTATAAAGTGGTAAAGTTTTCAGAAAAGAACATGAACAAATCTGTAAACCCTTTGATTTCACTGAAATTCCACATGATCTTATAAGATATTATGAACCATAAAAATCAAAGGCTAAGAAGAAATTTAGGAGGTTGTAGGGATATGTTGTTTCCATAATAGTAATGACTTGGGAGGCTAGTAGGCTCTTTTCCAAGATCTGGTGATGAAAGTAGAGCATATATTTTGTTGTTATATAATTTAAACTTCATATAAAAGATTAATTCATAGACATTCAAGCCCATAACATAAAATCAATGTTTTGAATCTCTGTAACCAAGTTCATGAGATTTCAGTCAGACAAGTCTGCTTTATGAACTCAACACAGACACAAGTTGACTGGCCTTGGACAAGTTACTAAACTAAATCTTTCAGAACAATCATAAATACCAGGTAGCATCATTGTGAGTATTAAGTAAAATAACTGTGCTAAAATTGTGCTTAGCACAAGTAAACACTTGAAAATAAATAAGAGGATTCCTGTTTCTTTTCTCATTCTCCTTTAAATTTTTTACATGTTTATGTTTCTTTTCTCTCTATCTGAAATAAGATATTTATTTTAGCTTGATCCAGTGACTCTGTAGTGTTTATTCTAATTATATACCGTGTATAGATTTTTCTGGTCTCTGTACATCTTAAGTTTAACATTCATTTTTAACATTAACACTCTCTCCAAAGGGAAAGTCATTTAGAGTAACTCTTGTTTTCCTTTGCTATGCTAAGAACGTCGGCAGAGTTAATCATAAGACCATTTAATCGATAGAAAATACCTAAACGCTTTATGAATTCACAAACAGCAATGAGATTATATAATTTCTTAATTGATTTTCCTTGTCTTATTTCCTCTAAAAGTTTTTCATTGCCTTGCATTTTAAGCAAAGCAAGACCTGGGTCATGGTCAGCATCTCATAAGTGTTTGTTGAATGAAGAGAGAAGGAAATAAATATTTTAATTGTGAGTAGAAGCAACAGTTCCTTAGGAGGGGTCTAGCAGACTTCAATTAACTTGTGCAGGTTAAAGAACATTCTGCTTCTCCTATTTATATGAAAACTACTTGGCTTAATTTATTGATATAGGAGAAGGGTTATTTAGTATGTTAATTACATTGTAAAGGGAAGCTGAATAATTTATAGCATCTTTTTTTGCTATAGTTAGGGTTAGAGGTTCTCTAGAGATGAAATGGATCAACCTCCTTAATTTATAGAGGAGGAAACCAAGGCCCTGAGAATTTAAATGGCTTCATCTTTTGGTGCTGAGCTGCAAGAGAAATCTATTTCCTCCTATCTTTTTCATTTGAGTTTGCTCCTTGCCCAAACATGTGGTTTACTAAAACTTCCATCTATTCCAGGGGCACTTATATTATCTACCCAAAATATGCAGGAAGATAAAGACCAAGGGTGAGAACATCAACTCTTGGATCAGAGAGAACTGCTTTCGGATCCCTTCTCCTATGTGACTTGGACCAGATTGCCCAAAGTATTTGTCACGTTAACCCAATCTTTTAATGCCTTGGTTTTCTTGTCTCAAAAGGCGGGATGACAAACTCTTGTCATCTTCAAAAGAAATAACCCTTCACAGATTTATTATTGAGGCTCAATGTGATAATGCATAGAATGTATTATCACTAAACCAGGTGCTGCTAAGCAGTAGTATGTTATTACAATATACACTCGAAGTGGGAGAGAATGTTGAAGGGAAGCATTGTAGACAAGGAGAGTCCTATATTTTGCTAATAATAAGCCATAGATTTGGCTCCAGGCTTCCTTTCAGCCAACACAGAGAAAGAAACGTGATTGATCACATTGCTCAGATATAACTTAGTTATGTTAATTATATATATATCCAGCCAAACCAGAACCACTCTCTTGCACTCCCAGCCAAGATCTCTTTTTACCAGACACAGCAGTATAGGGTTTTACAGACTTGTTGAGTTATATTAACTGCTGCTCACGATCCAGAGACTATCTCTTAGCATTCCCCTCCCACCCACCCAGCTTTTTGAGAGCACCTGCAGGAAAAAAACCCGGCTAAGTGTCTTCCCCTCAGCACTTGTCATTCTCAAGAAGGCCAAGTCCTTGGAGGAGGCCAGGGATAAATTTGAAGTTATGTAACTTCTTTCCCTCACCCACGTCAGACATTCCTTAGTCACAGGGACCAGCCTTCTGATCTTTGCATATTCACTCATTGCATCTCACAGAGAGTGAAGGATGGGCAGCGCTCAGTAAATGTTTGTGATTTGCAGTAACAGATGAGCATGTGTGGAGGAGTTCCGGGTAAGGGCGCCCTCCTCTTTTAGGTCCCGGTTGTAACAGAGAGGTTATTTCAGGCAAGACGGATTTTTCATCCAACTCTGATGACAGTGCTCAAGGCTTAAATCTCAGTATTTTAAATGAAAAATGAAATCGATATGAACTCCTCTTCCCTGGGTACTGGTGTGCAGCGACTTGTGTTATTAAATGTCGGAATGAAATAGAACCGGTTTTCTTAAAAAAGGAGAGAAGTATAATTCTAGCACCTCTTGTATCTTTAGGAATAGGTATATTAATCAATTACCTTTCAAGACATGTACGTCATTATAACTCATGTAATGGCCAAAACCTATCTCAAAAGTTAGTATAAACTTTGCTTGGAATGTTACCTTCAGAGCAAATGTAGAAAGGTTATGCTATCACAATGTTATTTTAAAATCTACATATTGAAATTATTGTAAAGTGACTTAAATTTTCTTTAGAAAAATAACCCGTGGACACAGACAATATGTGGTGAAGACCTGGGGGTATGGTGGAGGGGAGCAACGTAGAGAGGATTATTGGTGGGGGGTGGTGTGGAAGGGGGACATTTGTAATACTTTCAACAATAAAGTTTTAAAAAATAAAATATTTCAAGTTGCTTATTTTTTATATATTCTTTTTTGCCATGTATTTGAGTTAATCTGTTCTTTTTTGAAATAATCATTCCCTAACCAATCTCCCCTTGAATCTCTCTTCACTTATTCATGTTAATAAAATTGGATGAGATATATGTTAACCTTTACTCAATGTGGTATTTCTTTATCTTGCTTGTTTGACAATTAGGTTTCCAACTCCAGTTGATTTTATAAGCTAGGAGTCCTTTCACGTTAAACAGGAAAATAAATTGAGAGGTTGTTTGAGATAACTGGGGCGTACATAGACCTAGTGGTTTCTACTTGCTGTATCTAAACCTGGATTTAAATTGGAAATAGGATTTTAATTGACCCAAATAATAAGTCCTTTTCTTCTTTCCCAGCCCCTTTGCTTTTACCCTGTCCGAAGCCAGCATGTCACTGACAACTGAGCCAACAGTAAATACATCCATGCTGCAGAAAATCGCTGCCGACATGAGTAATTTGATAGAAAACCTGGACACACGGGAGCTCCATTTTGAGGGAGAGGAGGTGGACTACGAAGTGTCTCCCAGCGATCCCAAGACACAAGAAGGTAACGACCAGGAGAAGAGAGTTTATCTGCACGGCTTGGCAGGGCACAAATTTGAAATAACCAGCAAATGATTGATCTTCCTTGCTGGTGTGGCAACACTGGACTAAGACTTTGGTTAACTGTTTTCTCATTGTTGCACATTATTATTCTAAAAAAAAAAAAAAAAAAATGCCTGCAAAAGGCAAGTTATGTTGCTGTCCTGTATTCTTGCAACATCATTGTGTTCCTGCAATAACTTTATTTATTTATTTTTTAGTGTATATCCCTTTCTCTGCTGTTTATAAGACTCAAGGATTTAAGGAGCCTAATGTACAGCCATACCTCTCTCGCTGTCCAATAAAAGCCCAAGTCCTGGAAGTGGAACGCTTTACGTCTACAACGAGGGTCAGCGCCTTTATGGATTCAACTTGTATTAGTCGATGTGTATGAATGGACCCCCTGATTTCCGTTTTCCTTTCTCCTGGCTATGCCTGTGTGTTAGCTTTCTGCTTGTTTGTATGTTTTGGTTTGAGTTTATCACTTCCAAGTCCTCATCACCTCTCAAGATTTTGCTTTCTTCCCATTTAGTTTTTAGTCTCATGCCTCTTTCCCTATCCTGGAAAATACTTTTTTTAAAAAGCATTTAAGGCAATGTAGAAGTTTAATAAATTGCAAAGTGCCTCTCCTAGTCTTTCTCACCCACAGTTTTCTGTTCAATGTGGATTTCAGAGGCATGACCATTCCCCCTAGAATGCCAGTGAAGTGTAGCTTTCCTAGTGCATGTTTAGCAAGAATAGAATGATGCTACCTAGCTCTTGAAAGAAAAACAATAACAAAAATAAAACAAAATAGGATACTGCAGTGGCTAGTGCCATTACCCAAAAGTACGGCTGAGAGAATTCTGCTGGCATATTTTGCCTCTCTGGTTAGTTCCTGGCACATGTCCTTTGGGCCCCAGGCACAAGTTTTCCCTCTGAGGCCTGGAAAGGCCTTGGAAGTAAAACATCTTCATAACCTTTGAAGTGGAGTAGACTAGGAGAAGCTGTTAGAGTAGCTGCACTTGCTCTGTTTCTGCCTGGATTTTGCAGTTGCCGAGTCGGACAGACACGGAAAGTTGCTGCAGTGTTGGCTTTTGTTCCTCAGAGTTAGCTCTGGCCACTGCAGAGTAAGGCCACTGCAGAGTAAGGCCACCATTGTCTCCTGCCTCAGGGGAGCTGTAGAATGACCTTCCTGCCCCGGCAGGCTTTGCCTTCCCTTCCTCTGACTTTGGGAGGGTGATACGTGCTTTCTGGGTCCTGATGGTTTTGCCTAGTGCTCTGTCCCCACCTGCCTGTGCATGTTCTAACTTGTAGTTTCCACCCACCTTGGTGTACAGCCTTTCCTCTAAGCCAAGCATGTAAAACTCATAGCCATTTAAACGAGGCATGTGGCCCGCTGTCTGTGAGTTTGACATGCTTGCTCTAGGCTCTTCCTATGAGTTGGGTCAAAATCTCTCTGGTTTACCATTGAGCAACACCACCCAGAAATGTCTCTAAGATGACATTTGCCTTCTTATTGGCCTACCAGATTTTAAACTGAGAGGCAGTAATATGGGGGTTAACTGTAATCTCAGAGCCAGACTGCAGGGTTTAATTCCTTCCTGTCTTTGCTTTGTGACCTCTCATAAATTAGTAAACTCAGTTTCTCAGTGTCCTCATCTGAATAATGGGCATAATAGTGCCTATCTTCCAGGCCTGTTATGAAATTTTAATAATATTATACATAATATTATACAAGTATCTAAACTAATAAAAGAGAAAAATGATAAGTGACCATACCTTTGCTATACCCACAGCCAATCAGAATGAATAAGCAAATTAACCCAACAAAGATGGTGGTTAATTTGCATATGCTGAGGGAGGGAGGAGTGAAGACTGAAGACAGCATGCCTTGTTTCCCCAAAAATTATATTAATTTTTGCTCCCAAAGATGCACCAGGTCTTATTTTCAGGGGATGTCTTATTTTTCCATGAAGAAGAATACAGTACACAGTTATTGTTAAATGAAAATAAAGGAAATGTATTACCTGTATACGGTACGGTGGTACGGCAGTTGTCAACACAAACTAGACAATCTGAATCCTACAGTATCAAGAATTTACTCATTTATTCAATGACAATCATGTCATCATCTTCTGGAACATCATCATAACAATCCAATTCCTGAATTTCCTGGTGAATTTCTTGTGACTCCATTTCTTTCAAAATCAGTGGACCACATCTCTCATATTTAGCAATAGCATCATCTTTAAATGAGTACTTCTTGTCAAGGTAGCCTGCTCTCAATACATTTGCAATGCAACTGTCAGTGATTTTCTCCCATGAATTCTTCACCCAAGTCACAACTTCTTGCAGTTTAGGTTTCATAAAGTTTCCACACTGATTTCTCTCTATTCTGTTTTCAATGTACTAGTCATTAATTTCCATGCACAAATTGTCTTTGAATAGCTTGTTTATTGCAATATCAAAAGTCTGGAAATAGGCCATCATTCCTGCAAGAATCATTATCTGATCTATTTTTCTTTCGTGAAGAAATGTCTTCATGTCTTTAGTGCGGTGAGTGCTGGCTGCATCCCAGACTAGCAGACCTCTTTGGCTCCCTCGCATAACAAGCGGCAGCATTAAATCGACCCACTTTCTTATAACTGCTTGTGTGGCCCAGGCTTTTTCAGTTTCAAGAATAAAAACCCCCAAAATACGTTCAATCTTTTCTTTCTTGCCCTTAGAAATGATTAAAGGTGGGATTTTAGTGCCATCCAGACGAATTGCCAAAATACAGGAAACACGTGCACTTTCATAAGCAGTGGAGAGAATGTACACTAAGGAGGCACCCCACTGTTCAATTGTTTGAGATGATTGGCCCATAAACACTGCAGTTTCATCCATAGCAATCATGTTGGAAAGATTGTATTAAAGAAGTCAGAGCCTAGGGAGGGCCTTATTTTCGGGGGGGATGCCTTATATTTCTCTCAGAAGAAAACCTGCAAGTAGGTCTTATTTTCGGAGGATGTTTTATTTTCGGGGAAACACGGTAGAAGGAAGAGAGAGGAAAAGCAGAAAGCAAGGTGCCTGTGGGAGGGAAAGCACGGGTGGAATGGGCGGGACAAACAGTAGTGGAGAAAAAGCGTGGACGTGGGGGGTAAAGGCCAAAGGGAAAGGGGGGGGGGTGAGGGATGCGGGAGAGGTGGCGGTGGCAGGAGGAAAGCCCACCCAAAGCCCTATTCTTGCAGGAATCTTCCTGCAACGGGCCCCTAGTATTATATATTGTATTATACAAACACTGGAGCCACCAAACCACAAACTTCTCTCTTTGCATATACTCTTCTGTTAGTCCAGTGAGTTTGGCTTAGTTCTGTTTTATTTTATGCATTTTATTTTTCAATTACAGTTGACATACAATATCACATTAGTTCTGGTATATATATCAGTGATTAGACACTATATATCTTCCTAAGTGATCAACCACAGTAAATCTTGTACCCATCTGAGGCCATACATAGTTATTAGAATATTGCCTGTATTCCCTTTGCTACACTTTACATCCCCATGACTATTCTATAAAAGCCAATTTGTACTTCTTATTATACTTCACCTCTTTACCTTAGTCTGTATGAGAAAGCTAAGGATTATCCATATACTACTTAGTGTTTCATTTATGGAGAAATATGAACTAAATTCTTGCAGATGGAATGTGATTCCAGGTAAATAAAATGACTCCTTTTCTGATGAATCAGTACAGCCTCTGTGTCAGCTCATGGCTAAGCACTTCTCTTTTCACTCTTGTGACAACCAATGTGACAAGTGTTATCACCTGCCCTCCCAGGATGGTGATCTTCCACCTGCCCCTCTAGCTCCTCCACCCACCTGCCCCTCCCTGCTCTCTGCTTTATCCTCTTGGAGAGCCCAGAGATTGAGGTCACCCAGAATGGCTGGGTCCCTTGACCAAAGGTCCCCACCTCCCCGCCAAAGCATCCACAGCTCTCTCCTTCCATTCCAGCTTCTGTTTCTGCCAGTTGTCCTGACACTTGTCCCTTTAGGACCAGGGATGCCTTCACAAGTCCCAGGTGACTGTCCTTTCTTTATGGTGTTTTAGCCCTATAACATCTTCAGTTCCTTTATTAAGACTCCTCAACTTATTCCAGTTCCAAAGAATTCCAGTAATTCTGCTGGGATGTTGTCCAACATGTGGTTGAGGCTTCCCAGCTGGCAGGCTGCACCAAAGGATTTCAGACCTTTAAAGTTTTTAAAAAGGTTGTGGCAGGCTGTCCCCATTGCACCGTACTGCCTCACAATTGCTAAGAAATTTAGTGTACAAAACACATAGGGTGACGGATAAAACTTGGCATTTGCAATGTTTGGTTAAGTACTCCGTTTTTCTTAGACTGGGAAGTAGAATCCTAAGAAACATTGCAGCTTGCTTAAATTCCATAATTTTTATTATTTATTTGACTTACCTTAAATTGAGCATTTTTCACTTGAATGCGAAGTTTCTGGCCATTCTGAGTTTTCCTACATCCTTTTTTGTGAAGCAGGATACAGGGTGATGCAAGGTGAAAGGCAGCATATAGAATTAGACCTAGAACTTGGTTCATTTAACTTTCAGTTGCAGTAACCATCATGGATCCTAACTAGATGCAAAGCAAGTGCTAGGTTTGAATATTTATCATTGATATGGTTGGACTTCAGATTTAAGAGCACAAATTACATAGACTCTCATGCTCATGTTTCATATTGTACATCAATACAGAATGGTCATGCTTTAGAAATTTGAAATATATGGCAAGTACCAGTAACCAATGGCCACAGGCCAGGAATCACTCATGAGATTGCTGACACTGGAACCTGGATAAATTAGCAGAGTTGGAGACATTTGCTCTCTCCCATCCCCAGCATCTATGATACCCAAGTCTCCTGGCAGGGCCTAGTGTCCTCTAGGTGGTCCAGAGTACCTATTCCCCTCCCCCATCTTCTCCTCACCATCTCACATGCCCCTCATCCTTGCAAACACTATAGATCTTCCTTCAAGATCTCCTGTGCTTTATTTATAAATAAATAAATAAATCCCTCCATCTCATGACACCTTCTACTATATCAAAATTCCTATTCCCCAGGGTTGTTAGCTCTTCTGATTAAATAATTCACTAGTCACCAAGATATATTTGCATTTCATAAGACATAGTTTTGAATTTTTAAATAAAGATTTATTTTAGTTAAGTTGTTAGGGGAAATATTTTGAGGATAGGAAGATCTTGTGCTCCCTTCCCTCTAATGCACCTGTACCTTCCTGGTTATGGACAGGGCTTCAGGACAGGAAGATGTAGACAAGGAGGGACCTTGGAATGTATTTCAGAAGAAGGTATAATGCCATTTTGTGAAGGGCAAAAAGTGGGCCAAGGTAATGCTCCTGGGATCCACTCCTCCAGCTTCCCTCTCACCCCTCCTACTGTCTGCTCACTGCTCATATTTTGGACAATCCTTGATGGCTAAGTAGGGCCTTCACTCATTGTCTCCTTGACTTGGTTTCTTGTTTCAAGTGTGTGTGTGTCTGTGTGTGTCTCTCTATGTGTGTGTATATGTAAGTTTGGAGCAATAGGATTTGTAGGAGTTTGTCTTTAGTGAGATTCTGTGTTTGTCTTACGAATATTATAAGACAAACATTTAAGAGAATATTATTCTGTAACTAGTTGTTTTTGAAAAAATTTTACTTACTTAAGTACGTACACAAAATAAATAGGTTGGATTTAAGGGTACTTCCATGTTACTTATTAATTAGCTACTGTTCATCGGAATTTTTGTTGTTGCCTAAAATACCAATCCTTTTCATTTATCTCCTTAGGCACGGAGTATCAATCTTTACACTATTGAATTAACACATGGGGAATTTAAATGGCAAGTTAAAAGGAAATTCAAGCATTTTCAAGAATTTCACAGAGAACTGCTCAAGTACAAAGCCTTTATCCGAATCCCCATTCCTACCAGAAGGTAATTGTTGCAGAATTAATTATAAGGTTGCCCAGATGTCCAAGTTGAGTGGAAAGTGTGTTTTATTTATATTATGAGTTAACTGTCTATTGTTGGCAGATATGTTCTATTAAGTAGAGCTTACTGTCTTCCAGTAATAAGCCATCTCACAAAAGATATTAGAGAGTTGCTGAAACCGGTTTGGCTCCATGGATAGAGCCTCAGCCTGTGGACTGAAGGGTCCTGGGTTTGATTCTGGTCAAGGGCATGTACCTTGGTTGTGGGCACATCCCCAGTAGGGGGCGTGCAAGAGGCAGCTGATCGATGATTCTCTCTCATCGATGTTTCTAACTCTGTATCTCTCTCCCTTCCTCTCTGTAAAAAAAAAAAAAAAAAAAAAAAAAAAAAAAAAAAAATCAATAAAATATATATAAAAAAGATTTAAAAATGGAAAGATAGAGAGTCGTGGCTCAAAGAATAATCTAGTAAATGTGTGCATTGTGTTTGTGTGTGTGTGTGTGTTTCAGACACACATTTAGAAGACAGAATGTCAAAGAAGAGCCTCGGGAGATGCCAAGCTTGCCCAGTTCCTCTGAAAACATGATGAAAGAGGAACAGTTCCTTGGCAGGAGGGTAAGTCCCTCACCGTTCTTTTGTTCAGAACATAACTATGCCACATTGTAGAAACATGGATCTACTGAGGGGTGAGGAGGGTCTGGCTTCAATTTTTCTCAGCAACCGATCCATTATCCTGGCTGGTGATTCGCCCCTGGAATGGGTTAGGCAACCCTCTTTCCCCCACGCTGTTCTGACCCTGGGATGTTGCATTCTGACCCTGGGATGTTGCATTTTTCCAGAAGAAGTGTTTCCTTTTGTAGGAGTGATATTGTGAAGAAGCTGTCTTCCCTGCAGGGACCACTATGGGCTCGTTGTGAGTCAAGATTGAGCTCATTATTGAGAGTTTTGAGATCTTCTCTTTTTAAATCATACATTTTCATGCATTTGCCTCAGAATCTGAATAGTTTGACCTAAATATATGTCGGGAATATATATATATATATATATATAAATATATATATATATATATATATATATATATATATATATATGGAGAGGAGGATAGAGCAGCATATGAACATCAGTAGGACAGAAACCTCAGGCCTGCTCTGCTTCAGTGATGTGGTCCTGCATAGGATAAATTAATTTTTTACTAGAAAATTAACAAATAAATGTTAGTTCTCTTTTGCCATCTGAAACTTTTATGGTCTAAAAGGGATCTTTGTAGTTGTCATCTTGATTAAAATCTTTTTAGGGGCCTGGAATACATATTTTCTTAGATACCTAGACAAAATTCTACAGTTTTGGGTTACCACGTGTACATAAGTGAGTGCAGTTGAAAACGATAAACTATGGCTTTAACAGTTGGTACTTCAGCAAGCATAATAGTCAGTACAATTGACAACCGCCTGACCCCCTTTCATCTTAACATATTTGAAGTTAGAGTACAACTTACTAGAAAGTCTCTTTTTATTTAACTCCCTCTTTGCTTCACCTCTGAAAATATATTTAAGAATTACAGTACATATGCCAGTAAATTCAATGTCAGAATTGAGGAAATTCAGGTGTTTTATAAAATCAACAAATGCTTTAAAACCACCCATTATTGTCTACGGCCATACCACCATGAACGCGCCCGATCTCGTCTAAAACCACCCATTATGGGCAAGTTCTGTGCTAGTAATTATGGAATATTAAGAGAACATACTGCTGGGGCCTTGTCAGCAGCTTATAAAAGACCTAACTATGTAAAAATTTAAGAAGAAGAGATTTAAATAATGGTTCAAGGGAACTATGGAAATAACTTCTTAATACGTTTCAGGATTCCTTATCCAGCAGTAACATTAATAAATCATTAAATAACTTACAGAAGGTAAGATGGACCGATGATCACATTATTGGCACTGTTTAAATTTTTCTCTAAGTGTTATTTCTTATCTAAAATGTTTGCATTACAGAAACAACTGGAAGATTACTTGACAAAGCTACTAAAAATGCCCATGTACAGAAACTATCATGCAACAGTAAGTACTATTTAGTGAATTACATTTTGAAATTATATTATATAAATTATTATTATTTCAAATAATTTATTATATAAAATCATAGATCATCAACTAAATCTTGGATCATTTTATTAACACAGGTACTTGTATCCACTTTTGGATTATTCCTTGTGTTAAAATAAATGAAATAACACAAAATTGATTTGACAGAAAGGATCTAGGTTATGGTGATGCTATTTTTAAGATACAAAAATATAACTGATATGTCTGTAACAGTAGATTTAAATGAACTTGAAATGCTGCTACAGGTTAGATTATCTAGAAATCAGCCTACTTTTCTCCTCAGGCTTCCAGAATAAAGTCCCAAAGAATTCCTAACCCTTAAGAGAAAACTTTAAGTAGGAAGTGATGAAAAGAGTGGAACAGACCTGAATGCCCAGAGATTTTATGGAGCATGCTGTGAATGCCATCTGATCGGCCCGTGATGCTTATAAAAGGCCTGTCTTTTCGTGTGAAAGTGAGAAGCCTGGGAAAAGCCAGGGAGAAAAGAAACTATTGGAAAATAAGAGATGGTGGAACTTGCAAGCAGCTGGGAAGCACACACAGAGTGGGAGCGTGGCCTTACAGAGGATATCAGAAAGCACTAGCTCTGCTGGCTTAGAGGCCCTTGAAGGTGCTGTTTTTAAAGGGTTAGCCTTCGCTTATGTGAAGGTCCAGATAAATGACAATGCATTGGATTATTAGACTTTGTGTCTGCGTTAGTATGAACTGTATTGCTGCGGGGTTGGATGTATGCATGTGGTGTCTGTGCAGAACTTGAGAATAGGTGCAGTTATGACTTGGCCTCTAGTTTAGAGAACGGTGTCACATAAAATACTACACAGAAAGAGGGAAGACCTCTGGTATTAAGGAGAAGAAGCAAGAGCATCTTGACCTTGAAGAGTATTTTTGTGACTCTGCCCTCATGCTGCCTGACAGCATATTATTTGGAAGGTCGAGTATGCACCCAGCTGGCCCCCTTTATAGGTAAATTACCTGGGGGGCTGGGGAGGAGAGACACGGACTATGGCCGCCTTCTGCAGCAGCTTGCCCTGGGATGTTCCATGGTGGACTTGAAGGAGCTCGCATGGTTTCATAATCCTGGGGAAGAGTTTTCCCAGGGAAACCAGAAATCTGGGTCCAACCAGTGGATCTCAAGAGAAGGAATGGGAAGGATTTCTTTCCTTCATGGACTTGGAAGTAGGCAACTTTGAATGGATGTAACAAATGAAGTTATTACTGCTCTTATTACTGAAAATGCTGCTTCCTATTGTGTTCTCTGAAATCTGTTTTCAGACATGCTCTTTTCTTTAGTAGGGAGTTCTTTAAATGAGCACTGGTACCAGGATGCAATGAAGTTCCCTTTGTTTTGCTTTTCTGCCTGCCTGTGACTTTACTTTTACTCTTCCTTTTGGTTCTGGAACTGTATTTGCTGAATTTAGTTTTCTCTTCCCACGCACATTATTATATTTTGGATTCTAATGTTGATTACACACTTTTCAAAAATGTTTATTCTGATTTCTTTTTTAGTCAGAAAAATATTTTCAAAGTTGACCCATAGTGTATTTAAAAATTACAGAATGTGTTCTAGACATTTTCTTTGGAAGGGAAAACCTAGCTATACCTGACTGAAGATATGTTCTTCCTCATTTTTTATGGTTATTTAAATTATTCCCCCAACAGAAGAACTCTCAAAAATGATCCAAGCATTGAATACAATTTGATCTATCTTAATTCTCTGACATTATTCTCTTTTCATACTAAATGTAATCTGGCCTAGAGACTAGATGTGAAAACCTCCACCTCATATTTGTGAAATTAGATTGGCACTATGTGTCTAAGTAATTTGGGTCCTTAGGCCAATAGGATTGTGGATCATAGGTCAAGGGATAAGATAGGATCATTTCCTTAATTTCAATAAAATTTTACTACAATTAGACTTGGACAACTCTTCTATTTTTTTTTTTTTTTTTTTTTTGAGAGAGAGAGAGAGAGAGAGTGGAGGGGAGATGGGATGGGGAGAGAGAAAGAGAGAGAGAAACATCAATGTGAGAGAGACACATCAATTAGTTGCCTCCTGCACACTCCCCAACCAGACCAGGGATTGAGCCTGCAACTGAGGTAGGTAACCTTGACTGAGAATTGAAAGAACTGAAACCCTTTGGTCCAAGGGTTGATACTTTTACCACTGAGCAAACTGGCCAGGGCTCTTCCTACTTCTATAGGGTCTCTGTATAAATTAATACTTTGATAGCCTCCTTTTCCTCCAGGAGTTTTAATTCCTCTTTTCCTCATTGAGGTTCTGAAAAGCAAAGTGTCCTAGTGTTTTAGTAGATTTAACATTACATTAAATAGTTCCCTCAGAGATGATTGGCAATTCATTCTGTTTTCTCTACTCATTTGTAAAATGGGAATATTTCATCTCTTCTCAAGGAATCCATATATTTAGAAAAAAAATAACATATACAATTTCTTTTTAAAAATATTTATTTATTTATTGTTTAAAGTATAACATATACAATTTCAAACAAGATTCCTTTTGGGTCCTGAATTGTAGTACCAAACCCACTAACTGGGTATTTTAATTAATAACTAGAAAATGCTTATGTATCTTCCAGGGAATTTAAAGGAGAAGTCATTAGAAACAATACATGTACTTTTTCCTGGCTGTAGGTTAGAATCTAGAAATGGAACCCAGTGAATAATTTCCAAGAGAAGGGCTGTAAGCTGATAAAGTGTTATCGCTAACTTCAAGTTAATCATCAGACTCCTGTAACTTAACATTCCTTTTCTCCAAGGTGATGATTAGCTTGAAATCACCACTTTGGAAGTAAGGAATCTGAGAATAAACATCTCACAGAGCTCACCTCTCCCTTTCTTTTTAAGATATATAAATTTAGCTTGAAGAGAAGAGTGGGTAAAACTAATAAAGATACACAGCGATGTTTCCATTCCAACAAAGAAAAGCTGTATTGATTTAAACAGCAATATTTGCAAATGAAGGGAAATGTCATTCTCATGAATGAGTCTTAGTTGGGAGAGGCTGGATGCTGGGGAGCCTCTCCTTCCCCCCACAGATGAGCTGTCTTCTCTTCTTTCCAGAGCTGCATTGTTTTACCTGGCAGGCACCCTTCCAGGAGTGGGTGAGCCCATTTCCCACCCTTACTGTAAGGGCACTGCCCAACCCCATGCTTTTGTCTTCATTACCTCTGAGAATGTCCCACTTGGCCACTCTCTTGAATTTTGTTGCCTCAGGAATGAAGGGGGGCCTCTGAACATCCCCTTTCTAATATAAAGATGAGGTAGAAAAGCAGTGTGTATGTGGTTGCAAAATCACTCCCAAGGTTTGTTTTGTTTTGTTTTTAAAATACATTTTATTGATTTTTTTACAGAGAGGAAGAGAGAGGGATAGAGAGTTAGAAACATCGATGAGAGAGAATCATCGATTAGCTGCCTCTTGCACCCCCCCTCCCACCCCCCCTGGAGACGTGCCCGCAGCCAAGGTACATGCCCTTGACCAGAATCGAACCTGGGACCTTTCAGTCCTCAGGCTGACGCTCTATCCACTGAGCCAAACCAGTTTCGGCCACTCCCAAAGTTTGTAGTTACCCTTGGCATTTCTTTCTTGTCCTTTGGCATGGGAACTCTTTGCATCTCTGTTTCCCTAACATACTTTTTTCAAGTTACTTAGAGGGGGAAAATGATATTGGTTTGTATATTATTCAAGAGATCAATAAGCTCTATGAAATATTGTCAGGCTAAATTAATGATTAAATTCTTTTTAAAGGGTATGTTTTTATTGATTTCAGAGAATGGAGAGGGAGAGAGAGCTAGAAACATCAATGATGAGAGAGAATCATTGATTGGCTGCTTCCCGCAAGCCCCACACTGGGGATGAGCCTGAAACATGAGCATATGCCTCAACCAACAATGGAACCTTGAACCCTGGTTCATAGGTCAATGCTCAACCATTGAGCCACATTCAGCAGGCAATAAGTAAATTCTTACTCCTGAGAATCACCTGCCCAAATGGAGAATGGAAGTCTTATCATTGAAGAAACCTGAGCAGTTTGGACAACATAATCTTTGTTAAATTTTAGATTTATTGTTTAGCTGTGCTTCTCAATTGATCTTGTCACATTTGCTTTCAATTGGATAAATCTGTATTAGAATATGTATTGCCAGATAGTTTCCCTTTTCTCTACAACACGGCCAAGTCTTTCTCAAAATCACTCTTTAGTCAAATTTTACTAAGCCATTAGGATAATTTAAAATTTTACAGTAATGCACAACTTTAATGTATTGTATTGCTAATGTATACTAGTACTTTTAAATTTAGATGAAATTCTTTACCCTTGGCAATTTTGTTTTGATATTATAAAGTTATGACTTCTGAATTATTTAAAAAAATATATTTTTGTCAACTATTTGCTGATAAGAGCTATTTGAATAAGGAAATAGTCAGGTTTTAGATAAGAGATTTTCTTGATATTTGCTTTCATTTCCTATTCTTCCATTCAACTATTCTGTGTCTTTGTATAAATTAACCACTATGATAGTTTCTTCCCGGGTACTTTGGGAATGACACTTTCTCTCTGCTCCCTAGAGATAAGTAGATCTGTGGCTTAGAGTTTTAAAACTTTTGGAATCTGTGGCTCAGAGCTGCAGTGTTACTTCTAATATGTGTTACTACATTTTTCAGTGAGTAAGCATTTCCACAAATCAGAATAAAAATGCATGGTACTGAATCACTATGATTAATTTAAGAAATGAAGTGTAAAGACCTTGACTGTTAAAGTACTTACAAGGCTAATGGTAGGTATTTCCAATCACATATACAAAGTTTAAAGGAAAACTGTTATGTTTCATGTTATTAATTTCATTTACTAGCCTTGATTGACTATTATTTTTCCTGCAATGTCATATCAGCCAGGAAGCAGTCACCCTGTCTCTACAACTCTCTAAAGACTTTCACATATAACCGTTATGGTTCTTCCCACAGAACTTTGTGGATGTGAAGTGTTTTCCATATCTGCCTCTTTTCTGCTTCCTGATGCAGGAACATGTATTTTTTGTCTGATTTTTCTAGTAAGGCTATTATTGACATGGTCAAAGACCATTGGCAGATCTAGGTTTACTGTGGCCGCTTCTGTAAATTGGGAGCAAAATAGTGTTGATCTCTAGTTGTTTCAAGGAGTATACAAAGTAAAACTACTGCACATGCTAAGAATTACATAATATTCATTGGTTTTCCCCTCTGTGCCTCCACATTTTCATCTAGTATTCATCTAGGTAGAATAAAGTTACTCAATTTTAGTAGAATAAATGTTGAATGACTTTTTGCCTTGGCAGCTTACTTTTGAGAATACTGATTGGTCTGACCTAACTCTGAACACCTCTTGCTAATTTTGTGATCTTGAACAGTTTCTTTAATGTCTCTAAATCAGAGGATGATAAATTGTGACCCATTGGACCAAACCCAGTCCACTGCCTGTTTTCGTATGGTTCGTGAGATATGAATAGCTTTTACATTTTTAAAAATTGAAAAAAGTACAAAAGGAATAATATTTCATGACATAAAATTATAATAAATTCATAGTTTAGTATGGATAAAGAAAGTTTCAATGGAATACAGTCATATTTATTCATTTATGTATTATCTATGGCTGCTTTCATGCAACAGTAGTTTATATGGTTCATGAAGCCTAAAATATTTACTGTCTGACACTGCAAAGAAAGTTTGCCTATTCCTGTTCTAAACCTCAATTTCCTCTTCTGTACAATAGGACAAATAGTACCTATTTCAGAGAAACATCAATGTGAGAGAGACACATCAATCAGAGAGGTTTAAGATAATGTGTGAAAAATTCTTAGTACAGGGTTAATGATGTTAAATACTCAGTAAATGTTAGCCAGGGATGTTATTATAACATTTATAGTTTTTAATTGTCTCATAATTTGTTTAGTGAAGGTAGATCAAAATTTCTCTCCCATTATACTCACTAAAATTATTTTATATTATAATTACTTAAAATTTTAATTAAATTTTTATTATTTAATTGTAATTTTGTTACATTTCTATTAGAATATTTTGGTATTCCTAGTGTTCAAAGACCCCTCCCCAACATCCCCTCAACCAACTTTGCCATTTAATTTTCAGTTACTTTCCTTTATCTGACTGTCTCTAGTTCAGCTGTATATCCAATGACCTTTTTACACTTTTCCTCTTCTGTATTCCCCTTCATCTTCCATTTCCACATGCCAGTCCATCTTCCAATTCTAGTACCAGCATCACTCCCTTCACAGAATTCTTTTATTATTTGTGGGTATACTATGCCACACAATCTCCCTTTCCCAACAACAAAAACAAGCACAAAAGAATTTGGGAGGAAATTCTTTCTCCAGGGCCTATGTGAGCATTTTATTTCTACATAGTACAGCACACATCACTTTCTTGCTTGTGTTTTAATTATGCATATACTTCTTATCTGGACTCTTTCAGGAAAAAAAACCATTGTTATTGATCTGTGTAGTCTGTGCAGTATCCCAGATGTGTTTGCACATTGAAGTAACTAACGTGTTTTTTAAAATGCATACATTTTTCTTTTCTTCTGACTTTTTAAATATGGATTTTGGGCTCTTTTCAGACAGAATTCCTTGATATAAGCCAGCTGTCTTTCATTCATGACTTGGGACCAAAGGGCATGTAAGTTCCCGTGTTGGATTTTTAAAGAGAAGTATGAATATTGATGAGTATTAATATTAGATTTAAGGGCAGAGGGTGGGGTTGAAACCTGGTGGAGGGGAGTTATAGGGAGGGGAAAGAGGTACAGTTATAATAATCTGAACATAAAAATTTATTAAATTTTTAAAAAATAGATTTATTGGTATGCCAGGATGATGGGACTCATCTAGTTTTACTGGTAGCTTCTCCTCATCAGAGGCAGAGCAACTGAAGGGATCTATTTAGGCAAAACAAAATATCTTGCTAGAGTAAACAAAAGTAGCAATTGCTCTACCCTCTTTCTTATGTGCTTAGAGCACCAATTTTCTATAACCCCACAGTTGGACTGTTTAATACAGGTAACAAATATGATGTGGGAGAATGTATTAAAAATCAAACACTATATTATATATTTGAAAATATTTAAGACAGTAGATGATAAGAAAAATACTGTAAGTGTGAAATTATGGGTGGTAGCTAGACTTACTGTGATCAATTACTTCACATTATATACAAATATCAAATCACTGTATTGTATACTTAAAACTAATATGTCAATAATATCTCAATATAATGTTATATGTGAATATGTCAGTTTTTAAAAACTCAAATATACAAGATCCCTTCTAATCACTTAAAAAAGTTAGCTGCTTATCACTCATTTCCATGACTAAAAATAATCCTGTGTAAAAGGTATGTTATGCAACAAAGATTGAAATTTACTTATTATTTTCCTTCACAATTTGAGAGCTTAGTATGATAAAGAGCTTAACTTTTTAAAGTAAAGATCATTGTTGGGAGAGTGCTTTGAGGATGAGCTGCTAGGACTCATCCTAGCAAATAGGGTACTGAGCTATCTGAAGGTGAAGGAGGAGAGAAAAAACAGGAAAGTCGTGAGAATGAAGCAGTTTATTTAGTCTCACATTGCAAGGTTGTCTCAGCTAAGAGTGAGATGGGAATGTGAAGATGATGGGTTACCTTGATATCTCTTTCAGAGAAGGCATGATAATGAAAAGATCCGGAGGACACAGGATACCCGGCTTGAATTGCTGTGGGCAGGGAAGAGTCTGCTACCGGTGGTCAAGAAGGTAGGACTTAGGAGTTTTGTGTATATTTTTTAATAAACTGGATATTTGGGGAATTTTTACACACTAGTTTTAAATTAAATTAAAAATTATTAATCAGTTATAAATCCTTTGAAAATCATAACAGAAGAAATTTTAAGTTCTAAGTTTCATTATCTATACTTCCTAATATCAAACTATACTATAAGGCCATAACAATCAAAACAGCACGGTACTGGCATACAATCATACATATAGATCAATGGAACAGAATAAAGGGCCCAGAAATAAATCCACACCTTTATGGTCAATTAATATTCTAGAAAGAAGGCAAAAACATAGAATGGAGTAAAGATAAACCATTTTAAAGATAGACTAGACAGTCAATAAATGGTGATAGGAAAATGGTACAAATATGCACAAAAAAATGAAACTAGATCACCATTACCTTCTTACACCATACACAAGCATAAATTCAAAATGAGTTAAAGATATAAATATGACTCAAAACCATAAAAATCCTAAAAGAAAATATAGGCAGTAAAATCTTAGATATTTCTGATAGCAATATTTTTCTGATATGTCTCCTCAGGCAGGGGAAACAAAAGAAAAAATAAACAAATGGGACTACATCAAACTGAAAAGTGTTTGCACAGCAAAGGAAACCATTAATAAAATGAAAAGAAAAGCCACTGAATAGGAGGACATTTTCGCAAATGACACATCTAATAAGGAGTTAATATCCAAAATTTGTAACAAACTTATAAAACTGAACACTAAAAAAACCAAAAACAATCCAATTTTAAAAATGGACAAAGAACCTGAATAGACACTTCTCCAAAGAGGACACATAGATGGCCACTAGACATATGAAAAGATGCTGAACATCACTAATCATGATAGAAATGAAAATTAAGATATCACCTCAGACCTATCAGAATGTTTACCGTCAATAAATTAACAAACAAGTGTTGGTGAGCATGCAGAGAAAAGGGAACTCTTGGTGGGAATGCATTTTAATGCCAAAGCAGTAGTAGCATAGGCAGGAGGCATCTTGTTGGAACAGACCATCATCTCACCTGGTTTAGACCAAGAATATTCATAAAAGTGCAGATTTACTGGCGCTGGGAACTGTGCTAAACAATGTATATGAGTCATCTCAGTTAATCTGCACAGACACATAGGAACAGGGCATTGCTGTTACCCTCCTTTTATAGACTTAGGCTCAGTTGGGCACACTCACACAATCAGGCAGGTGGCAGAGCCGGAATTGGAGCTCAGGGACTCTGATTTGAAGGCAAGTGCTTAATCCCTGAGCAGCTGGTGCTATCTCCCAAAAGGCTGGTTGATGGATTACTTTTGTGTTACAAATCCTCTCCTAAGGAAAAAAAAAAAAAAAAGAATCTATTAACAAAAGAACAAAAGAGAGAAAGGGAAGAAACCAGAAGAGCTTTAATGAATGGTGTAATTAAGAAAAGCTCCAAATAAAGACTAGGAGTCAGTTTACCCTGATAGCTAATGACTGTTAAAAAGAACAACTACCCTAGCTGGTTTGGCCCAGTGGATACAGCATTGTCTTGTGGACTAAAGGATTCTGGGTTCAATTTCGGTCAAGGGCACATGCCCAGGTTGCAGGCTCGATTCCCAGGATGAGGTGTACAGGAAGCAGTTGATCAATTATTCTTTCTCATCATTGTTGTTTCTAACTCTCTCTTCCTCTCTTAAATTAATAAAACTATATTTAAAACAAAACAAACGAAAAACAACTCATTATTGTCGAAACAGAAACCATTATCTTTTGTGTTTAGCTTTCAAAAATTCAGCTGTCACTACTAAACAATTCCATATTTCTAGGCTGCCACATCTTGAAGGGAGTCACCATTGACATAGATACCACATGAATGGCACCCTGTAGAGTTGAGGAGTACCCTCTGTCTCGTTTCTGATGCCCAACAAGGCTGTTTGTGGCCTATTTGGAACCTGTGTGCAAATTCGAGAAAAGTGCCCCCTTCTGCAGGATTATGTGGCTGACGCCAGTGCCCTCCTTCAGCCAACATCCTTGTGCAGAGTATTGCACAGTGGTACCTGGTGGCCTGTTCCCAAGGACATGTTTTGCATCCCTTGGCCCTGTTGGTTAAGCCATGAGCCTGTGCTCCCAGGAGCATTTCTGAGGTTTATTCTGTCATGGGAGCTGGTTCACCTGGATATGGCATCATTCTACTGTCATCCCACACTGTTGTCTCTGGTGTGGAGCGCTGGCCAGACTGGCTGTCATGCCATTCCAGTATCACAAGTCTGGTATGTTTGACTTTCTTCCCAGATTGGAAAGCCTGCCAGCTGTGGTTGTCAACGCCTGTCAGCCAGGTCTCTGGGCCTGTGCCGCATGTCTGTTCTCTAGCTTGCTTCAAAGTCAAGCAGAGAGAAGCTTCAGCAGAGAAAGAAGGAACTTTACCAAATATAGGATCTATCATCTCTCTTTTAGCCTTAGCTGAGCTTTATCAGTTGGCAGCCACATGTCTGGATATACTTTACCAGTTATACAATCTATCTTTTCTTTTTAAGCCTTAACTGAGCTTTATCAGTTACTTAGTCATGGCCATCAGAATCACTGAGTTACCATTTGATATTATGACCTTGGCATTCATATTGAGCAGTATTGAGAAATTTTATAAAATGCATAATTTCTGCATTTTTTGAAAATTATCAAGATTATTATCCACTAGAGGCCCAGGGCACAAATTTGTGCACAGATGGGGTCCCTCAGCCTGGCCAGCTATTAGGGCTGACTGGGGCCATCTTGCCCAGTCCCTGCTGGGGGAAGGGACTGCGGGAGGTGAGCCTGCAGCAGGAGGTTGGCTGTGGGAGCCCACTGACCACCAGGGGGCAGCTCCTGAGTTGAGCGCCTATCCCTAGTGCTAGGTGCGTGTCATAGCAACTGGTCAACCAGTTGTTTGATTGACTAGTTGTTTGGTTGACCAGTCATAAATGTTGCTTAGGCTTTTATATGTATACTAGAGGCTCCATACATGAAATCCATGCAAGAAGAGGCCTTCCTTCCCCTAGCTGCCAGTATTGGCATCCCTCTGGCAACCAGGAACAGGGCTTCCCTCCAGCTGCTTGAAGACACCCGGGACCCAAGCTTCTCTCCAAGCCCCAGCTTTGTCCAGAAGGACATTCAGTCTACTTAGCATATTATGCTTTTACTATTATAGACTAGAGGCCCGGGGCATGAAATTCGTACACAGAGTGGGGGTGTACCTCAGGCCAGCCTGCACCTTCTCCAATTTGGAACCTCAAGGGATGTCCGACTGCCTGTTAGGCCCATCAGGATCGGGCCTAAATGGGCAGTTAAACATCCCTCTCACAATCTAGGACTGCTGGCTCCCAACTGCTCGCCTGCCTGCCTTCCTTATTGCCCCTAACTACTTCTGCCTGCCAGCCTGATCACCCCCTAACCACTCCCCTGCCAGTCTGATTGATGCCTAACTGCTCCCCTGCCAGCCTGTTTGCCCCTAACTGCCCTCCACTTCAAGCCTGGTTACCCCTAACTGCCCTCCCCTGTAGGCCTGGTTCCTGCCCAACTGCCCTTCCCTGCAGGCCCAGTCACCCTCAACTTCCCTCCTCTGCCAGCCTGATCACCCCTAACTGTCCTCCCTTTCAGGCTTGATTGCCCCCAACTGCCCTCCCTTGCAGTTAGGATCTCTCCTAACTGCCCTCCCCTGCTTGCCTGATTGCCCACAACTGCCCTCCCTTGCAGGCTTGGTCCCTCTCAACTGCCCTCCTCTGCTGGCCATCTTGTGGTGGCTATCTTGTGTCCACATGGGAGCAAGATTTTTGACCACATGGGTGTAGCCATCTTGTGTATTGGGATGATGGTCAATCTGCATATTACTCTTTTATTAGATAGAATCAGTTCCATTCTTTCTGTCTTGCTCTTTCCACTCTCAGTGCCATGGGTACCGTCTATATTCTTACTAAGCAGAGTGGCCCTGACATAGGCAACCCCCTGAGCTAATTAGACACCCAGAATCTCAGGCCCTGCCCTAGACCTTCTGAATCAGAATCTGCATTTTGGGAGGATCTCCAGGTGCTGCATATCCACAGTGAAGTGTAAGAAGAGCTGTTCTGTATTATTATAGCAACTTGCTAACTGCCACACCACATCCTTCTTTCTCCTTCATACCTTTTCTTTTTTTCTTTCTTTCTTCCTTTCTCTTTTTCTTTCTTTCATTCTTTTTTTTTTCTTTTTGAAACATAGTGCCAATGATATTATTGTCCTATGGCCTTGGCAGGACATGAGGATTCCCTTATTTAATAAACACCTTGATGTTTGTTTTAAATACAAATTGTTAGGCCTTTTTAATGGATTTTTGATGGGGCCTTGGACTCTATTATTTTTTAACAAAAATTTTAACAGATTTTGATGATCAGGCATGTTTAGAAAGCACTGGTTCCCTGAGATAAAATCAACCTTCTTGGCCCCCAAACCCTCCTCAGAGCGGCTTTTGCCCATTTTCCCTTCCTACTCTCTCTGAGACCCTGGCCTCACCAAACTGTCTCCCAACACATGCAGCATCTCCAGAGCTCGGGGCCCTGCTCACCCTTCCCTCCCCGTGGGATGGACACCTTGACTACGGACTTTGGGCTCTCTGCGACGGGTCCTTCCTGGCCTGGCACAGACTCTGCCTCTGGGAGAATGCCACCAGTGTGCTCTCTTAGTCAGAACTAAGGACTCCCTCCTCCCACCTATCACTGTTTGCTTTTCTCTTCTGATACCTGTCCCATTCAGCCTGGAATGATCCTTGCTTGTACCCCACAGGCCTAGTAAGATCCTCTGAGAAGATGTATGATTTATCTTTGTGCTGTTTCTACCTCCACCCTAACTCCTACTTTGTCATTGTACTTTTCTATTATGAAGCTCTTAAGCATATGTTGAATGGAAATATGCTTTTGAGAGATCATGTCCCATCGAACATCATTTAATAATGGTCCCTAAAAATCGCAAATAATTTGAAATGAGCAACAGAATATGCAGAGTGTTGGGGGCTTACTAGATTTTTTTAAAAGGAGGATTATACTTACTGAGAAACTTACTTGCCTCTTCTCTGTTAGTTTATTTTAGCAAACACCAACACATTCCATTCTCCCAACAGCTGGGGCTCCTGCTGTACATCCTGCAAATACTCCCTCCCCTCGGCAGGGGTGTTGTTCCAGGCTTCTTTGTCCTTAGTGTTTAAAAAGATAGTGAATTATATTGAATTGCTTGGTGTCAGCACTTCTTAGAAAAACATAATGAAAAGTTTTTTGTTGTTGTTGTTGTTTCATTGTGATTTTTATTTATTTTTATTTTTTTCCTTTTATAAATTTTATATTATTAATATTTTTTTTAACAATATACAAAATAAATCAGTCTGAATGCGTTCTCCACTTTTGGTCCTTTGGTATCAGAGTTCTCTCCTGCGAGTTTTCCATTGATTATTCAAGAAGTGTTTCTGTATTTTTAGTTGTAATTCCAGTTTGTTCCTAGGAGCACATCCTTGCAGCATCCACTTACTCTGCCATTTTTAATCCCTCTCATTGTGGTTTTTAAAAACTGAAACCCAATGTAAAAATAAAACTGTCCACTGCCTGCGAGTGTGTTTACTTCAGACTTGTCGTATACTTTGTTCTTTTTGTCTCAGTAATTCGGTACAACTTTTAAAATCTCCTCCCAGGTGGTTGATAGTGAAAGATTCCTTTTTACTGTACATGAAGCCAGACAATGGAGCCATCGCGTTCGTCCTGCTGGTGGATAAAGAATTCAGAATTAAGGTGGGAAAGAAGGAGACAGACACGAAATATGGACTCCGAATTGATAACCTTTCAAGGTAGAAATTTCAACTATTTTTAAAGAGTAAATATTTCTTGGTTAAAAAAAAATACATTTTTACCAAAATCTCTTAAAGACAAAGTCTTTCTCCCAACCTTAAGTAAAGAAAGTAAGAGAAATCTTTAAAATTTTTCATTTAGAAGTTATCCTTAATCAAAAGTAATGAAACTTTTTTCCTTTAATAATTTTTTAAGATCTTTTGTGCAACAGTCAGAATAGACTGTCCTATATGTTGATATATGCCAATTTTAATGAAATTGACTACTCAATAATACCATCTTGCCAAATAGATAAATTAAGGAGTGATAGAATAGTTCATATTTTTTAAAAAACATAAAATTTTACTTTATGAATTTATATCCTTTACCAAAACATGATGATTTGATTTAAAAAAATTCTGTTGACGCATAGATTTTTAAGAAACATACCTTGAAAGGATACTCAAGTGTACATTTATCATAGATTTTATTAGTGTGTATGTGAGTATTGATAAGTATGTTTTTTCCTGAAATATTGTAGTTATGTAATATATGTGTGTCTTTCTCTATGTATACACTTGTTTCCATAAAATTCAGCCTCATGTATATGGGTATACATACATTTCTGTCTTTACTCAGATTGGCTGGCGTAGAGATACAGATACACCCTTACTAACATGACATACACTTGCACATGTGTGAGTGTGTAAAAGACTTGGAACTTCCTTATCTCTTTTGACAATGGAAGATTCAGGATTGGTTATTGCAAATGCTAAGGTGCTGCCCTGACACCTGCTTCCTGTACAGTTTCTGTTTTGGGGATGGCTCTGGACATCAGGCCACAATTCCCACTGGTCCCTGTAACAGCTCTCTGCACCAGTCTGTGGGAGCAGGGGTCTGGAATATGCCATTTTGCTTGGCTTTGGTGAAATCAGAGTAGGGAAGGAATTACTCTCCTAAGGTACAATCAGGATGCTTCCAGAAGCTGAGGAAACGGATATCAGGCACTACAAAGGAAAATGACCTCTACTTGAGCCAGCAACTAAATAACACAGAGACACAAGTCTTGGCCTTAAATCTTTTTCATTATCCTCCTTACAGTCTAGCACACCTCTGGGACTATAGTAAGAGCCTTATCCATGGTTGCATGGGTGAATAAGTAGCCTGAAAATTTGTTTTTGTTACACTGACTATATTTTACAATCTTGCTAAAAGTGTTTACAACTCTGCTTTTCTTATTTAAGAAAGATGCTGTTTACTTAAATTTTTCAATTTATGTCTGTAGTATCGAAACAAAACTGAGCATGGTTCAGTCTTAAATTTGTTTAAAAGACAGAACACAGAGTGACCATTCTTTTACACATTTTGCTTTTCTTTGAAGGACACTTATTTTAAAATGCAACAGCTATAGACATGCTCGGTTGTTGGCAGGATCTATAGAAGAATTCATCCAGAAATATGGCAGCAACTTTCTTAAAGATCACCGATTTGGGTCATACGCTACTCTCCAAGAGAACATTTTAGCTAAATGGTAAGATCTTTTTGGTCTAAGACTGTCAGGGTAGTTATAGCATCAATTTCCCTAGAGTCAGTTTTCAAAGCTGTGAAAAGATGTAATGCATTATATCTAACAAAGGCCTTTCTTTATAGGATTACTTGAGCCATCAATTAGTTTTTCAATTTTTGTTTTTAAGCTATTTTACAATGAGCTTTCAAATAGCCAGTTTTAGATTTTGAAGTTTGATTTTGAAAACTAATTGTAAATTTTCTTAACGATGCAAATGGAAGGTTTATTTAAGTCATCAGCCATGATTTAAGAAAAAGAATTTACTTCCTGGATATTTCTTTTAAATATATTTTGTTGATTTCAGAGAGGAAGGAAGAGGGGGAGAAAGATAGAAACACCAATGATGAGAGAGAATTATTGGTTTGCTGCCTCCTGCACACCCCACACCGGGAATCTAGCCCACAACCCAGGCATGTCCCCTGACCAGAAATTGAATCATGACCTCCTGATTCATAAGTCAACACTCAACTACAGAGCCACACTGGCCAGGCCTGGCTTTTTCTTTTAATTAATATCATTCTTAGCATGTTTTTCCCCCCCATAGGTTTAAAACAGTTCTGTTTTCAGTCTCCAAAGAACAACTATGTGTGAGTTCAAGAAAATAGGAGAGTTCATTTGACCTCATATGATCATGATACCAATCAATTGTTGCTTACCTCTATCTATTTACTGTACTTCCTATGTAGCAGTTGGTATTCTCAGTCCTTGTTTTCCATTACAGAAAGTTAACTGGTGGTTGTGTAGGGACTCTTGGCAGTAGCTTCCATCTTTGGCTTTCCCATAGATATGTGTCTTTTTCTTTTTTTCTTTTTTCTTTTTTGTATAACAACCCCCCTACCCAACACAAATGAAAAAAATCAAAACAAAAAACACTTGTCTTTCAGGTATGTTAATGCCAAAGGATATTTTGAAGATATTGCAAATGCGATGGAAGAGGCAAAAGAGGAGATTTTTATCACAGACTGGTGGTTAGTATTTGTCCCTGGGGATGGTGTTTGGAGTCTCTGTGTTTAGGAACGTACAAGAGTGTTTGTTGTGCTGTCCCAGAGTCACACACTATGAAAACCAGCAGTCCCCACAGATGGTCTGGCTGAAGTCTCTACCAATTAACTCTAATGGCCTCCAGTAAAAGGTCTTTTCAAAACACTTGGCACCCAAATATATTCTTAAATTATTTAGCTTGAACAATACTGTACTTGTCTTTCTATTTGGAAGCAGACATTCAGTATTCATTTTAGTAAAGATTATGTTGCAATGCAAATATAGTTGTAGAGGTAGTGGAAAATGATTGTCCTTGGGAAGTTTTTCCTCATTTTGGTATGTCTGTCCTTAGATCCAGTGAATATAATTTCTCTGAATTATCCCTTTGAAATTGGGATAGTTCCATTTGCCCATTACTATTAAAATGTTCTTATTAATGACTAGCCTGGTCAGCTTTTTTGGAGACATGTCAGGTTTCAATATTCTGACATCCCTTAAAAACATCCATGAGAGTTATGATGCTTGTTAAAACCACTAGAAGTCTCATATCTAAAACTCATTTAGCTACTGGGAAATTTGACTCTATAACAGTGGTTCTCAGGTTGAGAACCACTAGCAGGGTCACCTAAGACCATCGGAAAACACAGACATTTACATTAGGATTCATAACAGTAGCAAAATTACAGTTATGAAGTAGCAATGAAAATAATTTTATGGTTGGGGGTCATCACATGAGGAACTGTATTAAAGAGTTGCGGCAGTAGGAAGGTTGAGAACCACTGGTTAGAGGATGTTTTCCCAACCTGGATACTACTGACATTTGGGGCCAGATAATTCTTAGTTGTGGGGTGTTGTTCTGTGCATCGTGGAATGTTTAGCACCATCGGTATCCCTAGATGACAATAGGAAGATCCTAGTGGTAATAATGTGTGTCTTTAGACTTTGCCAAATGTCCCCTGAGAGGCAAAGTCCCTCTGGGCTAAGAATCATTGATCTAGAATCAATGAGGCAAAGTCCCTCTGGGCTAAGAATCATTGATCTAGAATCATCAGATAAGGTATGTGATGGCAAGCACAGCTACAAAACATTTATTCTCATATTGATGGAGGAGCTTCTTCTTGGCCTTTACCAGTATATTCTTGACAAATTTTGTCTCATTACCAAGAATAAAATAAAGTTTCCTGCTTTGGAGCTATTTCTTTGGTTGATACTTTCTAAACACGAGAATTCATTCAAGTTTAATGTCGTACTATAGTTCTTGAAAAAAATATTTCTGAAAGTTTGACATGAAAGAGAATGAAAACAGTTTTTCCATTGAACCCAGGTTCTCATGTTTTGTGCAAGAATATAATATCTCTTTTGAAGGTAGTAAATACCAAAGTACAGACTTACATTTAAACATTTAAAGAGATGGAACCCTGACTGTTTTCTCATCTACTGTCAGCAAAAATATGAATCAGTACATTATTTCTTTTTCATGGCTTTTCTAAGATAACATCTTACTACAACACTCCCCTTTGAAATAAAACCTTTGCAGTAACTTCCCTCAAAACATGTGAAGAAAATTCTTGTCATGCAAGATATTGCAAAAGGGAGCTTTCAAAAGCTTAACCAAACCCTGATATGTCTAGACCTGAGAGAGAAATAAGCATAGTTAGAGAAACCACATGCTCTTTAGAAACTTCTGATCTAATTCAATAGACATCATATACTTAAGTGAAAATGGTATTAATATGTTTCTAAAGCAATTAATATGCAAGCAAAGGCAGATATAGAGACAAGAGAAATAACCCGGGACCTAGAATTACTCATTTCTTTGTTCATTAACTTATCTATCCATTCATTTGCTAATTCATTCACTCATTCATTCCAAGGCCATTTAGTGAGCATGAGCTCTGTGACTGGTACTGACCAAGGCCATGTTCATATAAAAATGAGTGAGAACCAGCTTCTACCCTGGAACAACATAGAATCAGGAAGTCATACGTAAAACACAAATTGGGGAAAACTCAGTGATGAAGATCAACACAGCAGAAGACAGGGAGGGGTAGTGGTTGAGCCTGCCAGAGGGGGATCTGGAAGCTTCACCGAAGAGAATGCTGATCTGGGGCCTGCGGCTGGGGCTTGGGGATGGAGTTGGTAAGAAGGAAACAGGTGAACGTTTTAGGCAAAGGGTCAGCCAAGACCAAGGCATAGGGGTGCGAGAGAGCACAGCAGTCTTGGAGGAGGGTGGAAATTTTGTGTTTAGAGTGAGCATAGCATTCTTTGGGATGTTTATACTTGAAACCACAAAAATCCTGGAAGAAAACATAGGCAGTAAAATATCAGACATTTCCTATTGCAACATTTTTTCCTGATCTATTTCCTCTGGCAACATCTGTGTTTATATTTTTATTTTAAAAAAATCTTTATTGTCGAAAGTATTACATATGTCCTCCCTTTCCCTCATCGATCCTTCCAGCCTATCCCTGTCCCCTATCCCAGGCCTTTATCACCCTATTGTCTGTGTCCATGGGTTATGCATATATGCACACAAGTTCATTGGTTGATCGTCCCATCCACTCACCCTCCCCTGACTTCCCTCTGAGGTTCGTTTGATGCTTCTATGTGTCTGGATTTTTTTTTGTTCATAAGTTTATGTTGTTCATTAGATTCTACAATGAGTGAGGTCATGCCATTCTTATCTTTCTCTGATTGGCTTATTTTGCTTAGCATAATGCTCTCCAGGACCATTCATACTGTGACAAATAGTAAGAGTTCTTTCTTTTTTGCAGCTATATAGTATCCCATTGTGTGGATGTACCATCGTGTTTAATCCACTCATTTTCTGATGTGAATGTAGACTATTTCAAATTCTTAGCTATTGTAAATTGTGTTGCTATGAACATACGGGTGGTGAGGATACAGAGAAAAGGGAACCTTCGTGCACTGCTGTTGGGAATGCAGACTGGTGCAGCCATTATGGAAAACAGTATGGAGTTTCCTCAAAAAATTAAAAATGGAAATGTCATTGACCCAGTGATCCCACTTCTAGGAATATAGCCTAAGAAATCAGAAACACCAGTATCTGTGTTTTTAATGTCAGATTTCTTTTCAAAGCCTTGCAGTACGGTTCAGCTCTGCCCCCATGTGCTCCACCTAGCGGCCAGTTTGGGCAGTGGTATATTTTTTTCAGTTCTCAAACTTAATGGCATAATAAAGGGTGGGGCAAATGGAGATTTAGAGTTCATAAATAATACAATAATTAATAAATAATAACACAGAAACAAAACCTCTATGTTTTGCATATTTACAACTATAAACCTACTTTTGCCCTATCCTGTATTTAGGATCAAATCCATGCATTAGCAGCTTGGGGGTGAGCTAGAAGTCACAAACTGATTTTATAAGGCTGCTTTCCTGAGCTCTTCTCTTTCTGTGACCCCCCCCCCCCCCCGCTAATTTTGGGTTTTCTGTGGCTTCTCTTTTGCTGTCACTTCTATCACTGCCAAAGATCCCACTCTTTCTCCTTAAGCCTGAACTAGAGAATTTCTCCTGGAGTCTCTACCTTTTCCAGGTTCTCATTCCAGGCTGAGGAATCAAAAGGGGGAATAAAACCAAACCCCAAAAACAGTAATGGTAAAATCACCCCTTGGTGGGATATCAGATTCTGTTCTTCCTCAATACTGTGTTTTCCAATTCATGATTACGCCGTATTTCTCCATTTATTTGGATCTTATATAACTTCTCTCAGCAGTGTTTTGTACTTCCTGTACTCAGGTCTAACACACATTCTGCTAAATTTTCCACTAATTGATGTAATTGCAAATGCTATTTTTAAAAATTCATGTTTCAATTATTCCTTGCTGACATATAGAAATACAATTGGTTTTTAAATATTAATTTTATGTAATGCAGACTTGCTTTATTCACTTATTAGTAGCTTCTTTTTATAGATACCTTGGAATTTTCTTCATAGGTGATCATGTGATGTGTGAATAAACACAGTTCTACTTTTTCTTTTCTAATCTGTATGCATTATTTTATTTTCTTTTATTGCCTTATTGCATTGGCTAGGATCATCAATAAAATGTTAAATATAAGTGACAAAAAGGGACATCTTTGCCTCACTCTCAGTCTTTGGACAAAAGCATTTAGTCTTTCGTTATTATGCTTTATGTAGAGTTTTATAGGTACCTCTTATTACTTTGAGGAAATTTCTACTTAGAATTCATTTTATAACGAATGGGTATTAACATTTGTCAAACCTTTTATCTGCATTTATTAAAATAATCATTTTTCTGTTAATGTGATGAATGGGTTGATTGGTTTTCAACTTTTAACCAAACCTTGCTTTCTTAGGGTAAACCCACTTTGTCGTGATCTATTTTCTTTTTTATAAGATGTGGAATTTTGATAAAGGTTTTTAACTCTATGATCATAAGAGATATTGTTCTTAACTTTTTTTTTTCTTGAATTATCTTTGTTTGGTTTTTGGTATTAGTTAGTTAGTGTTCCTCTCTATTTCCTGAAAGAGTTTGGGTAAGATTTATATTATTTATTTCTTACATAGTTGGTAGAATTTGAAAAATAAAGTTCTTGGGATCTGGAGTTTTTTGTGGGAAAATTTTAAATTATGAATATAATATTTTAATAGATACAAGGCTAGAGTCTTAATTTCTTTAGGCTTTCACTTGGACAGCCTTTTCTTTTATGGAAATTGTCCATATTATCTAAGTTATCATATTTATTCATATAATGTTATTTATAATATTCACTTATCTACTTAATATTATTTTAATGTCTTTAGGCCTTGTAGTGATTTTCTCTCTTTAACTCCTTTTTTTTATATTGATAACTTGTGCTTCTTCCTTTTTTTTTCTTAACCAAGTTAGCACATTTTATTTTTTATTTTATAAACCTTATATATAAGCATGCAGATATCTTACAAAGTTGACATAATAGCAAATATAAATTGTGTACCTATCTGATATTATATTACATAGTTTTCAATGGCCATGGACTTACTTAACCATATTTTTTTAAAAACACCACTTTCTTGAGGTATGATTGACAAACAAAAAGCTGTGCATATTTAACTTATACAACTTAATGAGTTTGGAGATAAGTATACAGCCATGAAACCATCACTACAATCAATGCTGTAAACACATCCTTCACTTCCAAAGTTTCCTCCTATCATCTTTATTTATTAACTAGAGGCCTAAGGCATGAAATTTTGCAAGGGTAGGTTTTCGCAGCCCCTGCTGCCTCATGGTCCACAAGCTGCCCACACTCTTCTTGGCCTGGTGCTGCCCACATCTTCTGCCTGGTTCCCTGGTTCTGCGGGGTCTTCCTCCTTCCGCCTCCCTCCCCGACCCCTCCCCGAGCCCCCATTGATAGCCACACAGAGGATGGCCTCCTTGGTCTCCCTCTTTGGGGCAATTGCAGAGCCCCTCATTGATCGCCCTGCTGGCAGGGTGATCGTGGGGCGATGGCGCCCACTCCCCCACCAATCGCATCACAGGCACCTTGGCTGGCCTGACACCAGTGTGTGTCATAGCATGGTCACCCAGATGGTCGTTCTGCTTGTTCTGCCGTTCAGTTGATTTGCATATTTTATCACTACACTATTATTATAATAGATATTTGTATTATAAGAACATAATATAAAATCTATCCTCTTAGCAAATGTTTAAATATAGAATATAATTTAATATACGAACTATAGGCACTAGCTATTCAGTAGGTTAACGAAGGGCACTATGTTGTATATAGATCTCTCAGACTTACTCATCTTGCATAACTGACTGGAACTTTATACTCTTTGATCAAGACCTCATTTCCTCCTTCCTTCACTCCTGATAACCACCATTCAAAGAATCCTTGCTGGGAATGTAAATTGGTGCAGCTAATATGGAAAACAGTGTGGAGGTTCCTCAAAGAATTAAAAAAAAACACAGAACTACGATATGATCCAGGAGTTCCATTTCTAGCTACATATAAAAATGAATTGAAATCAACTTATTGAAGAGATACCTGCTTTCCGATATTCATTGAAGCTGTATTCACAACATCCAAGACATAGAAACAACCTAAATGTCCATTAAAGGATAAAGAAAATGAAGTATTTACATTCAATGGGATATTATTCAACTTAAAAAAAAAAAAAAGGAAATTCTGCCATTTGCAACAATATGGGTGAACCTGGAGGACATTATTCTAAGGGAAATTAGCCAGACACGAAAGAACAGATGATACAAGATCCCACCTACCTGAGAAATCTAAAATAGTCAAACTCCCTTTTTCTTTCTTAATCTGGATAGAAGTTTATCAATTTTATTAATTTTGTAATGAGCTAGCTTTTGTTTTCATTGTGTTTTCTCTCTTGTTATTGTCTTATGTTGGATTGAGTTCCATTGATCTCTTCTTCCCTTTCTTCTTACATTAGGTTTAATATTTCCTTTTTCTGTCTTTTTTTAAAAAAAGATTTCTTTTTTGTTTTTGTTTTTAATATACTTTATTGATTTTTTACAGAGAGAAAGGGAGATAGAGAGTTAGAAACATCAGTGAGTCATTGACCAGCTGCCTCTTGCACGCCCCCTACTGGGGATGTGCCCACAACCAAGGTACATGCCCTTGACCGGAATCGAACCCGGGATCCTTCAGTCCTCAGGCTGACACTCTTATCCACTGAGCCAAACCGGCTTCGGCTTTTTCTGTCTTCTTAAGATGAAAGTTCTGATCATTGATTTCAAATGCTGTCCTTCTCATATAAATATTTAAAGCTATAAGAGAGGACCATTTACTTGGAAGGCCATTTTAACATCTCTGGAATCAGGAAAGAGCTTACCTTCAGTAACATCTGACAGCTATAACTCTCATCACATGTTCTTTCTTAGTGGTACACACAGTAATGAAGCACCTTGCCATCATCGGTGTCCTAGATTCAGTGAAATGCAGTATCATATAATTCTTTTGAACTTAGTTTATCTAATAATTACTTAGTAAAGATCCTGACACAATGATACTTGGGCATCATAGCTGCTCTCTCTTTGTCATTGTTTATATCAGTCTTTTATCTTTTTATTATCCTAAAAATTGAGTGTTCTTTGAGAACTATCTTAAGATCCTCCAAAGTAACGAGTGGAATACAGGGTGCACAATGCTTGTATAGTAAATAAGAGACTTAATTGCTGAGCATAGCTTTAGAAGTGGCCTCAAAACTGAAGCCCTCTGAATCCATGATTAATGTACATGTAAAAAAATTGCAAGTATGAATATGTAGTTGGATATATCTCATCTTCAGTGATCTATTATAGCAATGTACCGTGATGTACTTTTCTACTTAAAACAGAACTCTTTTTAATTCATCATAAATCTTTTGCTAAATTTTTTGTTTGTTTAAACAAAAATTACCTTTGAGTTGTTTCCTATTCTGAATTAAATGTGCAAGTATTTATACTCTATATACCCCCACTATTTGTCTGTTTCCTTAATAATCTCACCCAATATGTGTTTCCTTTGGATATGTTATGTCTGAGTTTTTGGTTTTCTTGAAGTGAATGAAATAGAGCATAAAATTAATGCTTTTAATCTCTTCAGCTTTTTAAAACCCTGTTGTTGTCTCCTTCTTAGAGGACTTCCTGGCAAGATAGTACTACAGTCTCGTGTTCAATACAGCTTTAATCCCTATACAGTCTCTTCCTCTTTCCCCAGGTCTAGCATTTCAGCAGATGAAGTTTTCTTGTTTGTTTTTCCTCATTACAGTAGGGGTATATCACATGTAGATTTAACTGACTTCAGACCTCAACCCCAAGGGAAAAAGTGACTCTACTGTATGCTTAGCTGTCTGTGGCATTACTGAAAAGAAGAGCCAAGGGTTTATCCTCACATTGGAAACACTTGATCAGTGAGCCTGCCTTCTCTTTTTGGTCCAGAAAGACCCAGGTTTCATGGACACTACTCCTTGGAAGCCAGAGTGTATGTTAATAAGTTAGAACACTTTTGACTTGGATTAACAGAATGCTCATCTAAACAATGAGAATTCACTTGTCTCACGTAATGAGAAATCCAAAGTTAGGCAATCCTAAAGTTAGTGGAGTGGTCTAGTGATTTCACCATTCTGGTCTTTTCATTACAGTGGTTCTCAACCTTTTTAATGCTGTGACCCTTTAATACAGTTCTTAACCACTGCTGTAGAGCCTACGACCATCAGAAAACACAGATATTTACATTATGATTCATTAACAGTAGCAAAATTACAATTATGAAGTAGAAAGAAAATAATTTTATGGTTAGGGGTCACCACAACATGAGGAACTGTATTAAAGGGTTATGGCATTAAAAACGTTGAGAATCACTGCTTAGAATTTCAATATGACTGAAACATAGTCTCATACAACATTCACCCTAAAGCCCCTTTTCCTGTTTTGAGCGACGGTGTGTCTATCACCAAAGAGGAAAAACTTTTCCATGAACCCCACATATGCCCCTTCGTATACCTCATTTTGTCCAGGATTGTGTGATATTGTGCAGGAGTTGGGGGAAGTAAGGGTGTAGAATATTTATACTATATGGTGGGAACAAGGAGTTGGGGAAAGTAGGGTGTAGAATATTTATACTATATGGTGGGAATAAGGAGAATGGCTGCTAGCTGGGCAACCAACAGTGTCTGCGTGTGTGTGTGTGTGTGTGTGTGTGTGTGTGTGTGTGTGTGTGTGTGTTTTGCTAGCTGGGCAACCAACAGTGTCTGCGTGTGTGTGTGTGTGTGTGTGTGTGTGTGTGTGTGTGTGTGTTTGTGTGTGTGCGCGCGCGCGCGCGCGCGCATATGTGAGTAAGATGTATAGAGAAAAATCTAGGTTGGCTTTTTGTATGGAGAAAAGCTCATGCTTTTTTATGAACCTGTACATGGGCTTATATGGATGACCTGCCACAGTGGAGGAGGAGGATGGCATTTGGGCTAAAATCGCCTTTGCTTCCTTTGACAGGATTAGAATTTTGTATGTTGTTTTAATTACTTGAAATGTTGTGATTTCAGGTTGAGTCCAGAAATCTTCCTGAAACGCCCTGTGGTTGAAGGAAATCGTTGGAGGTTAGACTGCATTCTTAAACGAAAAGCGGTATGTACTTTCTAAACAAGTGCTGATATAATTTCTTAAATGCTTATTGCCTCTTAAATGCTTTTTCTTTTTAAAGTCCTCCCTGCATACTTACTAATATATATTTTTTTTAAGAATTGGGTAAAAAAGTAGAATACTTTCTGTTTTCAAATTCATTTGGTTCTGATTTTTTTCCTGTTGTTCTTAAATGCATAATATTTTAGCCTAATACACAGCATGACTTTTATTAGCAATTCTAATTTTTATTTTTTTAAATCAGTTATGGGTAGTTAATTTTATAGTCAAATTTTGTGATAACATTTTATTAATGGATGATAAAAGATGAAATGAAGCATAGCATTTTATTTTACTTATTATGCTGTTATCTGAGTAAAAAACAAAGTCATCTGAGATTTCTCTCAGATGGGACCAAGCTGATGTTGAAGAATATCAAGGAAGAGGGTCATTAAGAATTGAAGCTGTTTCATTTCATTTGGGGGAAAGTTCCTGGTAATGTGAAATGGTTTTCTTTGTAGTTGACCATGTAGATTCTGGGTGAGCATTAAGTGTGCTCTTTTGTTATAAAAAATAAATAATTGAATCAGTATAGCAGGTTCATCAAAGACTACTATGCATGCATATTTCTAATGAAACTTTATGTAGTTGGCCCTTAACCAAGTTAAATTAAGGTGAATTAGAATAGAACTGGATTTCTTGTTAATGTTCAAATGGGGAGTGCTTACCTTTTTACTATTATTTGAAACTGTCTTAATTTTGTTTATTCTATCATTAAACATTCCTGCAGATTTTGTAAATCCTTAGTAATTGTGGGTAGTATTTTACTATTCCTCACAGCCTACACTCATTTCTTTCCCCCATCCTTTATTTTCCTCTACCTCTTGACTAACTCACCTTTTCCTTCAATATCTTTTCCCCATGTTTTTACTTTAGGATTTTTGCAAATATCATAATATAATCTGAGGTCACTGCTAATATTAAAGGCTGAAATTGATAATCTTCATTTCAGACACATGTCTTGCCACACAGCATCATTTTCATGGCTAATCTAATGTGTTGTTTGAACAAAAGTCTATTCACAAAATTGGAAATTCTGGTCTTGAAAAGCATTATTTGCATAGCCATTAAATAATTTAGCATACATTTATCTCTTGATCCACATACTACGTATAATAATTACTAATTTGTGTATGAAAATGATTTCATCTCTGCCCATGGAAGGCTTGCTCAAGGACTCATGTTCTGAACTCAATCTTAAGGTTACCAAATGTGTTTCTGTATGTTGAATGGGGTGTGATTTTCTCCAGGAATCAATCATACTAGTAAGTCCTCTTCTTATAGTAGTTATCCAACACTTTACTGTTTTAGCTTTCAATCGACATGTGTTTGCTGAATGCTTAATGAGTGCAGGGCACTTGGCTAATCAAATGTGAATGTACATAAATAACAAGCATGATTCTTGACCTGAAGGAGCTTAAAAATCTACACAAGAGTCAGTTGACAGTCAAGGGCCAAGATTCAAAGGCAGGAGGGAGAGCATTGGGTAGGTCTGGTGGAGAACTCCTCAGGACATGAGAGATTTAGGGCATTTAGAATGAGCAATAAAATTAAAAAGAAGTTTCTAGATGTAGGAAATGTGATATGGAAACAGGAATTCAGAAGGCTTTGCCAGTCACAGTAAGGTAACGAGGTTGATTACACCTGAGTGTTAGCATAGGTGGGATGGCGGAGGATCAAGATGGAAGACAGACTGCAGTTAGGACATGAAAGGTTGATTATCTAAGCCAGTGGTTTGGGCTTTATGCAATACAGTGGGGATCTACTGGGTTGGGGGTGTTATGGATGAAGGGTGATATGATAAAAATAATGTGTTGGAAGGTGAATCTAGGGTCTAGTAATAATTAATGTCGTTTTTAACATTCGTTTAAAATCTTGCTTGGCGTTGACTTGTATTGACATAACCTTCAAACACGTGGTATCTACAGAACGTGTGAAGTGCAATTAACAAGTTTTGCTTGAAAAAGTTTGTGTTTGGTTTGGTTTTTGTTGCAAAACTAGGGCTAAGAAGATGGCGGGTGAAGAGCATATTCGGCACTGCATGCTTTACGAGTTCCAATTAGGAAGAAAAGCAAGTGAGGCTGCAAAAAACATCTGTAGTGCTCTTGGTCAAGATGCAGTTAGCGCCAGAAAATGCCAGCGTTGGTTTGAGAAATTTCGCGAGGGAAATTTTTTGTTAGATGACAAGAGTGGTCGAGGCCGTGTGTCCAATTTTGATCAAGAAGCTCTTCAAGCTCTTTTGGTGCAAAATCCTCAAATTACCCAACAAGAGCTTGCGACAACTTTAAATTGTTCACAAAAAACAATTTCCAATCAATTGCATGCACTTGGCAAAGTCCAAAAGTTTGGAAAATGGGTTCCTCATGAGTTGACCGACAACAACCGTAATCAAAGAGTCACAATTTGCAGTTCGCTCCTCTCTCGTCAAAACCGTTTGCTGTTTTTAGAGCAAATTGTTACTGGAGATGAAAAATGGGAGCTGTATGTTAATTTGAAAAGGCGGCCTCAATGGTTGGACAAAAATGAGGCTACGCAGCCCACGCCAAAACCTGACTTGCATGCGAAAAAAAGTGATGTTGTGTGTTTGGTGGAATTTTAAAGGAATTCTTCATTATGAACTTTTACCATCTAACCAAACCATTACAAGTGCAGTGTATAGTGCCCAATTGGAAAGGTTAGCCCAAGCTTTAAGAGAAAAAGAACCAGCGCTGATTAATCTGAAGGGCGTAATTCTTCACCACGATAACGCACAACCGCATACTGCAAGAATCACTGCTGAAAAACTGCGCCAGTTGGAATGGGAAGTTCTCCCTCAACCTGCATATTCTCCTGATATTGCCCCTTCCGATTACCATTTGTTTCGTTCTTTGCAAAACTTTCTTCTTGGAAAAAAATTTAATAATGAAGAATGCCTCAAAAATGCATTGACCGAATTTTTTGCATCAAAATCATAAGAATTTTATAACAGAGGGATTAAAATGCTTCCTGAGCATTGGGCACAAGTAGTAGAAAACAATGGCAACTATATTGTTGATTAAATTTTGTTGTATTATTTAAATAAATTCGATTTAAAAAAGTATTAGAAAACGACATTAATTATTACTAGACCTATAGTAGTAGAGGAACAAACTCAGGTTTAGAGAGCTAAAGTTTAGATCATTTGAGTGTGGGATGCGACAGAACATCTAAGTAAGCTCCAGAAAGTAGTCAATGTCGGAGCAGAGGTCAGAAGGAAGATCCTGCAAACCAGGCCTTTGACCTCATGTTAGCTGGCAGATGTTGGTTTATCCCCTTAGTGTACCTGCCCAGTTTCCTCTTCTATCACAACCATGGTTTCTTTTTGCTTTTATTGCCTCTGAACCCAGGTGAGGTTCCAGGTGGACACCAGGGCCTAGGAATTATTATGGTCTGATAATGGTGTTTTATTTGAATTTTATCAGCTTCCTGAAACTTGTGATTTTTGAATTGGGGATGATAATTTTTTAAATTTCCTAAGAAGATAGTAACACTGTTAAATATTAATTTCTCAGTGGATCATTTAGCAGGATTGTTCTTCTGTAACCTAGCTATATCATATTATTAAGTTGGTCATGCTTTTTTAACACTTGGATCATTCCAAATTGACATTTCGTATGCTTATGAACACTGTTTTATGTAAGAAATTTTGTTTCTGAAAGTCACTAATTTCACAAGGTAGTGGGTTGATAATATTTATTTTTGCATTAATGGGTCTCAGAGGTCCATAAGGTTGATTTAAATAAATTATTTTTTTCCCTTCCATTTGATTGTGCAGATTTTAGGGAAGGAATTTAGTGTTTCTGCCTCATTGCCAACAAATAGGCAAACATCTCTTAAAATGGCTGTTTCATAAGGGGGAAATACAATATTTTGTTTCTCTATAAAAACCGAGTTGATATTTTCCTGTCTCTTGGATCTTCTGATATGCAACATTATTATTTAAAATAGTCAAAGCAAACCTTGAGAGGCAGAGTGTTTACTATTCAAATCAACTCCCCAAGGTTTCCCACAGTCCTGCATTGTCTTCACTAAGAGGTGAGGTCATCTGCTTCGTGGTTATGGGTAACTATATCCTTGTACCCAATTGGTATATTTCAACCTTAGAGACATGTAATACTTCTGATGAGACTTGCACCAAAAGAATCCTCAAGCATAGCAGCCTGGGGGCTTACAGGAAAAGGTGAAGGTCCTCAGGGGGCTTTGGTCATCTGGTTAATTTCTTATTGTCCTGGATCACAGCGCACATTCTAGAGTTGCAGTCTGTGAGCAATGGGAGAAAAGGATATCCAGGCATATCAAATGAGATAAATAATCACATCTCTTCCAAAAAACAAACAAACAAACAAACAAACAAAACAAAAACAAAACAAAGAGAATCTTATCAAAGTGGCAGGGCAGGGAAGGGAGAAGACATGTTTAACTTTGAGGTCTGTGCTTTGGACAAAACTAGTTTTAAAAACACACACAAAACAACTCACAGGCATTTGTGATTTTACATCCCAATGCTGCCTGCAGTTAACTGGCAAGGATATGGATTTTTTTCATTCCTGGGAATTCCTGGACAAGTGATAAAATGAGTGATTAGCCTGTGGAACTGCAAGCTATGGTCTCTTCAAGCAGTGGACAGACTTGGCTACATCCAGAAAATATTTTTACCACAGTGCTTTGAGCAATCTGAGAAAACACTGGCTCAGGAACAAAGTCTCTTGATTTCAACTCTGAAAATTTTTTATGTTTTTTTGTTTTTGTTTTTTAATCTGATGTATATCTAAAACTTCCTACTGCTGACAGTATTGTGCCTGTTTTACTTGAGTAAAAACAAAGTAGAAAAGAGGACAGAACGTTCATCTTTGGAAATTCTAGTTTGATGACATTGATTCTGTGGAACCTTCGGGTTAGTTGACTTGAGTAGCAACAAGAAACATGGTGTTGGGGGACTTCTTCCCCCTCCCCTCATGGGAGTCTGTGCTTGTTTCTCTCTCTCTTTTTTTCTTCTTTTTAAAAAATTTCTTTATTGGTTATGGTATCACATAATTGTCCTCATCCCCCTATTCCCATCTCAAATCCCTTTCCACGTTTGCCCAACCCCCGTGTTGTCCATGACCACTGGTTAGGCTTATACAAGTCCTTTGGTTGATCTCTCCCCCTCTGTGCTTGTTTCTCAATAAATTTCCACCTTTTGCTTTACCAAACAAAAACAAAAACAAACAAACAAAAAACAAATAAACATGGTGTTGTGTAATCAAATCCAAGCCATTCCTTTGTTTTCCCTACTTCCCCTATTAATACTTTCCTTCCATCTCTCTAAGCAAAAGTTGATGAATGGCATTAAAAAAAATTGGCTGTTTGAAAAGTGTTTCTTTTTAAAATTACAGTTAACATTACTCCTTTTGTTTGTTTTCTAATTTGGATTTCATTTTGCATAAATATTTCCCACATTTGTGTAGGTTTCCACAATTATAATCCAGGAAATGCCTTTGTTCTCAAGGAACCTTTTTTCCTTTGCTGTTTTGAGTTTATGAGAGTGTTGCAATGCATTGACTAAGAGGAGTTTTATTGCTTTAGTATCACAGGTCTTGTCACTAATTAACTTTATTAGAGATGTGAGCAAATAATTGTAAACCAGACTGTGTAAAAATGAACTTTTTATATTTAATTACTTCCTTATTAGTCATTTGTATTTAAGCTAAAAGGTCTCTACCCTATTTCCTCTAGAGTTCATTTATTTCAATGATTAAAGACACAGTACAGAAGAAAATGTCAGGTATGATAGATGGAAGGTAATAATGTAATCCATTAGCGTTAACATTTCTGTTATTTCAAAAATCTATTCGTTATGCAGGTAAATCAAAAATTGTAAGATTCAGGCCAGTTCCTAAGTTGTGACTACTTTTCTTACGAGTGAGTAATAATCTCATAAGCCTAAGAAGTAGAATTTCATCCATTTGAAACAAATCAACCATGATGAAAGATATCAGCTGTAATGTACTATAACTTAGGTTGAAATTTTAAGTTTTAAACTTTATATCTTTCAATAGGAGGCTATTTTTGAATAGCTGTTATTCAGTACTGAATCCTAAAATATTCAAATAGGAAAGTAAGCATGAACAATAGAGGAGAAAAATAACATAATGTTCTTGCCTTCATTTAGAACCCTCAATCAGTGATTCACAGCTGAGCACTCCCTGGCCAGAGCATTAGCCATTAGTCTGTTCACTTCTTGTCTACACTTTCACTTCCTGTCTCTTTACTCAAATAATAGTTATGTCATTATAACAAATAATGAGCAAGTTCCAAAAGTCCGCTGATAACCAGGGAAATAGAATGACTATTTTTTTTTTCAGAGCAAGAATTAATCTTCTCCTAGTTCTCACATTTCCTCAATGCAACAAATCTAGTGTGTCCTTTCAAAAATGTATACACATCTTGGATATTACTAATATCAAGAAAGTTAAGCCCTAGTTGGTTTTGCTCAGTGGGCAGAGCGTCGGTCTGCAAATTGAAGAGTCACAGGTTCAATTCCAGTCAAGGGCACATGCCAGGGGGCATGCAGGAGGCAGCCAATCAATGATTCTTTCTTATCATTGATGTTTCTATTTCTCTCTCCTCTCTCTTCCTCCCTGAGATCTATAAAAATATATTTTAAAAAGAAAGTTAAATTATTAGTATTATGAAGTAATATGTTATTATAAGGCATTAGGGGCCAGAATAATACTTCTTGGTATTGGCAGAACAATATTTTGGAATTGTATATGTGTTTGGTTTACTCCAAATTTTACATCCTGCAACTTAAAATATAAACTCCTATATTATTTTTCATTATATATATATATATATATATATATATATATATATATTTCAAAAAGGAAGGGAGAGGGAGAGAGAGATAGAAACATCAATGTTGAGAGAGAATCATTGATCAGCTGCCTCCTGCACACTTCACCCTGGGGATGGAGCCTGCAACCCATACATGTGCCCTAACTGGGAATCAAACCATGACCTCCTGGTTCATAGGTCAATGCTCAACCACTGAGCCATTTATGACTCAAATTTCCATTATAAACAATGCCTAGTTATCATGGCTTATTCATTTACAATTCAAATTATTCTCTGCTATAATTTATTAGAAATGTCTGCATCTCTAATACTTTAGGAAGTATTATGAAATATTTCTTATGGTCTAATCTCTGAGATGTTAAGTGCTTACTTTAGATACATTATCCAATGTGTATGCAATATGTTTCAGAATGCTTTCAGAGCTGCTGGGTATAATGCAAATTAAAATGCTGCAAACTGCACAGCATTACTGAGAATGCACACCTAAAAAGTAAAAATGTAGCACAGGAAGTGGGGGTAAATAAGACAAAAGTGTCCTGGATAAGTACATTCTGATCTATATGTTGAAGGGGGAACCATCTGAGTGGACATGGAGAAAGGGAGGTATCCGGGGGCGGGGCGATTTAGCATAGGCTGAAACCTTGTTACCACCCAGAACTAGAAGAAGAGGCACTGCTACTTCCTTGTTCTACCAGCTGCTGAACATTCTCCTTTAATGGTTAATATTAATAATAAATGTTATTTCTATAACATGTAGTTTTCCAGACCCCTTTGATTTAATTTGACCCTCGTAATGGTTTGTCTGTTTTCTTTTAGCTCCAAATGTTCATTTGTGAGAGGGTGCTTAAATTATGGAATTTTTGAATGTTAGAGAAGCTGATTTCTGAAGTCATTTCACTGGTGAAATCAACATTAATGATTCAATTATGGGTTAAGAGTGGGAACCAATATGTTTATCTCTTAAAGATTAAGAAATGCGCCCTAGCCAGTTTGGTTCGGTGACCCTTATACTGAAGGGTTTGATTTTGGTCAGGAGGCAACCAATCAGACATCAATTTATTCATTTAAATAATTTTTTTAAGAAAAATTCTAGCCCGGCTGGTATGGCTCAGTGGTTGAGTGTCAACCTACCAATCAGTAGGTCATGGTTCGATTCCAGGTCAGGATGCATGCCTGGGTTTCGGGCTCAAACCCCAGCAAGGGGCATGGAGGAGGCAGATAATCAATGATTTTCTCTCATCATAAATGTTTCTATTTCTATCTCCCTCTTCCTTTCTCTCTGAAATCAATAAAAAAAACAAAATATAAAAAACAACAAATAACAAAAATTTCTTTGAAACATACCCCAGGAACATTAAGGGATATTTAGTTTAACTTATATCAGAGGTTTGTTTTTAATCACTTCAACAGTTGAAGTATAATAAAAACAAATGGTAAGAACTCCTTCTTTTTTGCATGCATATAAGCCTAACCAATGGACAGACAACAGGGGGCATGAGTTGGGGGGGGAAAGGCGGGTAATGTGGGAAGGACACATATGTAACATCTTAATCAATAAATTAAAAATAAATAAGTAAAATAAAATAAAAACAAACATCAACATGAATCAAATCAAAGCTTTCTAAATGATATGTGTTTGGAAATATTCTCAGGTGTAAGACTATGAGGCACTTTCAGTAGTTGAGATTATAATTTCAAGGTTCTGACTCTAGTCAAATATTGACCCTGTCTTGGCATAACAAATTGTAGGAATGGAAGAAAGATAATATTTATTTTTTACATCTGGGTCTTAATATACATACATTTTTGTTTCACCTTCCTTGTATTGTGTTGTTCAGTAATATTTTACAATACTTGTTTATAGAAGAAATTTTAGAAAACACAGTATACAGAAAGGAAGGAGAAAAATAAAACCATAGCCTACCTACAGAAATTCTCATTCCTGCCTGCGTTTTCTCCTGTGACAGCAAGAGGGGGTGAGGATCTTCATAATGCTCTACAAAGAGGTGGAACTTGCCCTTGGAATAAACAGTGAATACAGCAAGAGGACCTTAATACGTCTACACCCCAACATAAAGGTATTCAGGTTCATCTTGCTGAACCATATTTCTTCTCTATTATTCTGTAGTTTTTCAGATTTATTTTGCTTTGAGCGGTGGTAATGTGTAGAATTCCCTAATGTATATATTCAATAAATAGCATTGTGTTCTTCTCAGAAATAAAAGAAAATACTATACTTTAAAAATATTTCTAATATTGATGGAGTCAATGAGGGTCACATTTCTGCTTTTCTCACCCTGATTAGAGGCCTGCTGTACAAATTTGTGCACTGGGAGGGTCCCTAGGCCTGGCCGGCATTCAGGGTTGATCAAGGCCTTCCAGCAGCTGGCTCCGGTCTCCCTTCCCCAGCTGCTGGCTGCCAGCCAGGGCCTTCCTTCATTCCTTCATTCCGTGCCGCCCCCTGGTGGTCAGTGTATGTCATAGCGAGCGATCGAATTCCCGGTCTCCGGGTAGAACTCCCAAGGGGACACTTTGCATATTAGCCATAGATAGATAGATGATAGATAGATAGATATATAATAGATAGATAATAATAATAATGATAGATAGATGATAGATAGATAGATAGATAGATAGATAATAATGATGATAGATAGATAGATAGATAGAAGATGATAGATGATAGATAGATAGATAGATAGATAGATAGATAGATAGATAATGATGATAGATAGATAGATAGATGATAGATAGATACATAGATACATAGATGATAAATAGATAGATATAGATGATTTAGTTAAGAGCACACTTCCTAGAGTTGTTTTTGAGCCTGTCAAGTTTCCATTCCCCTCGTTAAGATGATCCCGGAATCTCTAAAATGTGATCTCCCTGGGGCATCCCTTGAATACTGATAGCAACAAAGAGAGCTCCTTTAGGACTTAAAATACTTTTCTTTTTAAAATATATATATACATTTTTATTAATTTCAGAGAGAAAGGGAAAGGGAGAGAGAGATAGAAACATCAATGATGAGAGAGAACCATTGTTTGGCTGGCTCCTGCATGCCCCACACTGGGAATCGAGCCCGCAACCTGGGCATGTGCCCTGACTGGGAATAGAACCCTGACCTCCTGGTTCATAGGTCGATGCTCAACCACTGAGCCAAGCTGGCCAGGCCTTAAAGTACTTTTCTTAATAGCATATTGTATAAAATACTAATAAAGTAAACAAGCACAACAAGCAATTCAAAGAAAGCTATTTGTTATTTTACCACCAGAAAGCTATTTGTTTAAAGACCTAAAGCTTATCAATAAATACTTCCCAGTCAGCCCTGGCCAGTATTCTCAGTGGGTAGAGAATTGGCTCATGCACCAAAGGGTCTTAGGTTCTATTCCTGCATTTAGAGAGAATTCTTTACAAGCAGGAAGTTAATAACTTCTCAACGTACTCTTCAAATTCAGAGCTGCCAAAATATCTTTCTCCCTATATTCACATGCTTCCTATGTTGACTCCATGGCTGCCAAAAGATCAATATAGTTATCAAAAAATTTGTCGCAGATAGAGATGTTGTTTAAATATTTTTTTGTTTGTTTTTAAATAATACCATATAAATCCTTTAGGAGGGAAAGAGAATGAGCTATTTCATTGAGCTGACTTCTATAGAAATATGTGCCGAAATTTCAAGCTAAATGGCAGTTGCCCCAAAATGTAGTGTGGGTGGGGGTTTGGGGAGGCTTCAGATGTAACTAGAAGTCTTCCTAGTTAAATACTAGAAATAAAAGGAGAAGTTTGTGGATTTTCTTTGATGTACACAGAGTCCATTTTGGTATTTGAATTATAGAAAATGCCACTCAGGGGTGAAAACAGAAGAACATTTAAAAAATCATGTTACATATGCAATTTTTTCCTCTTAAGGTGATGAGGCACCCAGATCACGTGTCCTCCGCTGTATATCTGTGGGCTCATCATGAGAAACTTGTCATCATCGACCAGTCGGTGGCCTTTGTGGGTGGGATCGATCTGGCCTATGGCAGGTGGGATGATAATGAGCACAGACTCACAGACGTGGGCAGCGTGAAGCGTGTCGTCTCTGGACCGTCAATGTGCTCCCTCCCAGTGAGTAATTTCATCTTTATAGAACTGCATAACAACTTGTGTAAATATATATTACTAGAGGCCTGGTGCACGAGAGGTCCCTTGGTGAGATTACAGGGATCGGGCCGAAACCCGCAGTCCAACATCCCCCAGCAATGTAGTAGTGTGGGAAGCAGCAGACTGGGGAGGAGCCTGGGCCAGGTTCCTCACCATTCCCATTCATCTTGGCCCCACTGTGCCTGCCACCACTGGATAGGCTTGCTGCCACTTCACTGTGGTTTTTGAGCACCTGTCCTAGGGCGATACTGGTGTGGCCATGACTGAGAAATTGCCGCAGGCTCACACCCAGTCAGTCCCAAAGCTGGTCCAGATCCTGGTTCCAGTCCAGATGGGGGAGGAGCACACAGGGGGAGTGTCCATAGGAGAGGCTCACACCACCACAGCTGCACTTGCCAGCAGTGAGCCCAGCATCTGGCATCTGTCAATTAGCTGAGTAGAGTTCCCACTGTGGGAGAGCACTGACCATCGGGGGAAGCTCCTGCATTGAGCGCCTGCTCCCTGGTGGTCAGTGCATTTCATAGCAACAGGTTGAATGGTCAAAAGGTCAAACAGTCGCTTCAGCTTTTATATATAAGGACTAGAGGCCCCGTGCATGAAATTTGTGCATGGATAGGGTCTCTAGCTGCTGCCAGCTGCTGGCCAGGGCCTCCATTCCTCAGCTGCAAGCTGCTGGGCAGGACCTTTCTTCATTCTGTGCTGCTCCCTGGTGGTCAGCACACATCCTATCGAGCAATTGAACTCCTGGTCAGTCGAACTCCTGAGGGGACACTTTGCATATTGGGCTTTTATATAGATAGATAGCCTGACTGATTGGCTGAATGAGAGTGACATTAAGTCAAACATAGACACACCTGGTTTGTTTCTTCTCTTGTAAGAAGAGAAAATAGATTAAATGGAGCATTTGCTCTCTCATACTCCACTCCTTTGTTGTCCATTTAAATTAAAGATTTATTTGCTATTAGGAAACAGTTTGTAAACAAAAATGTGAAGCAATTGAACTTTAAGTTAAATAAGCTGCCTTATTATATGCAAGTAACTGCCAAGGTTTTTGGAATCTTCCTACTTAAAGAGACAAAAAATAGGATAGGTAATTCTATTTGAAAGTAGGAGGTTAATAACTTCACAAACAACCTTTAAAGCAAGAGCTGCCAAAATATATCTATATCCCGATATTCATATACTTATTATCTCAACTCAAGTGGTTGCCAAAATATCAATATACATATTAAAAAGGTTGATAGGCTTCCTCCTATTTTTACTGCTGGCTACATTGGTACTTTTTCTGGGAAAACGGAAATGTAGTGAATTGGTAACTGAGAGGATAACTTACAGAAAAAGCACTGCTTACTTAATATTTAACAAAGAAAGTTCAGTGGCTCAACAGTGAGGGTAACTTATATAATTGTGTTTGAGATAAGACAATTAATTGACATAAAATTTCAGGAATTTGGCCTGAAAGAGTAACTACAATGGAACACCTACTATGCCTTTGGCCGTATTTAAACCATTCACAAAAATCTCTATTGCCCTGCGGCTGACCTCACACCTTACTGTGTGTCTGTTAGAAACTTCTGTCCTGTGCCCACTGTACACCTCACCTGACTGGAATGAAAGGGCCACGATGCAGTGTATTTGATGCAGTGTCTTTTTGTTGTTTTTTTTTTGTTTTGTTTTTAATAGTCTTCACAGGCTGAAATGACAGGGTCTATGGAATCTTTAAGCCTCAAAGATAAAAAAGAGTCTACTAAAGATTTGCCCATCCTGAAGAGTGCTGATGACATGGATTCAAAACTGAAAGGCATAGGCAAACCCAGCAAGTTCTCCAAATTCAGCCTCTACAGGCAGCTTCACAGGCACCACCTGCATGGCTCCGACAGCCTCAGCAGCATCGACAGCGCCTCCAGTAAGTCGTCCTCCTCATGGTTAGACCAGATCGGGACCATGCTTTGCGTCTCTAGAGCCAGACAATGCACCCTCGCTTTTAGAATCTACCTTCTTATGGTGGAGTAAATGGGTCAATGCCGACAGGTCACTGGATCATCATATTTCACATCTTGCCATCGCATTGTAGAACAGATTTATTGCTTTATTCACATGAGTCGTTGTCGTAACAAACACAAGTCAGGTTTCTGATGGTAGCAGAATGACTAGTTTAGAAAAAAAGAAAAAAAAATCACTTCTCTTCCCTTCCTGAAAGACAACAAGCATTTCTCCTCAAACATCAGATTTTCTGCATCTGAGCAATGTGCTGTTTTTAGCCTTGCGATTTTCTGTGGCCCAGACCTGTGACTGCTTTAATAGCCTTGCCTCATTTTAAAAAATGATCACCTTTGCTTTCCAGTCTAGAAAACCTGAACTATACATATATATAATTTCTTTGTAACAAACAAACAAACAAACAAAAACACTCTTAACTTTCTCCAGGTTATTCTAATCACTGTAGAAGTCGTCAGAATTTAATCCATGGTCTAAAGCCCCACTTGAAACTCTTTCGCTCCTCCAATGATACTGAGGAGGGGCTCGCTAGACCGGCCGCGGGTAAGTCACCTTCCAGGCTTCAGCTTGTGCTGCATGGCCAGTGAGTGTGTTTCTGGATCATCTTTCTGTCCACGCAGTTTGCACACCTCACATACTGAGAGGAAAGCCGGGGGTCGTCCACGGGATTCCTACAATCCTAGCGCTGAGACGAGACGTCGCCTAAGCAGGGTACAGCGCACGGCACCTGCAGTCCCATGGGGCTTTAGTTCTGAGGAAGGTGGGAGGGTTTCCCTGATGATCCAGAAAGACGTTCCTGAGGAGGGGACGTTGGAGTTGGGTTTGGAAGTCATGTCATTGGGTAGGTGAGAATATGAAGACATTGCAGGGGAAGGAAAGGAGGTGATGGAATTGGGAACGCACCAAGTGCTTCTACACGTTAGAAAACTCATCCTTCAATTTGATAGGACCAGGAAGAGAGGTGGCAGTCATGTTTGACCTTCCCAACATAAATAAAGGAGTCATGCTCTAAAGGTGAATTTTTAGACATTGTAATCGGATAATCTTTCGTTAGAAGAACCACACGCTTGAGGAACACGTTATCAGGCCTGATTTATGATGGTGGGAATGAAGAGGATTGGGCAGTGGGTCAGATATAGGGACAAGTTGCCATGATAATATATGTAGCAGCCACAGTGAAACGCAGGCTAGTGTTTATGGTGTGCAGACTCTCTGAGGTCACCGCCAGGAGCACCGGTGGTGTTATCTCCCTTTTACAGACGAGGTGACTCAGGTCCAGAGGTGATAAGTGACTTACGAAGTGAATCCCTCCCAGCGCCCATGGTTGGGATTTGTGATTGAGCAGAAGTGCAGATTGACCTAGTGGCCTGTGGAGATGGCCAACGTGGAGCCCAGCTAACAGGGCCGGATGTGAGTCACTCCCGGTGGCAGAGACTAGAGAACCCAATGAATTAAGCTGGATGTGAATCACTCCCGGTGGCAGAGACTAGAGAACCCAATGAATTAAGCTGGACCTTGGGCAGTGGTGCCCAGCATTCTTTGGTCTGGGGACTTTGCATTTTAAAAACTGATTATATTTATTGAACTAAAGCTCCAATGCAATCGTTAAACAAGTTTGTATGTTGTAAATCATAATATTGACAGACCTTAAAAATGGGGAAAACTGTAGATGAGGAGACATTTTATTTATTTAGCATAAAGCACTTGATATATATGTGGGCTCAGGGTGTTGTCCACATAGGCATCAGAATTGTGAAGAACATACTGAGTGTTTCATCCCCTTGAGGGATTGCACTCTTTTATAAACTGTCCGTGGGGATGTAGATATATATGATTCATTGGTTTCATTAAATAAGTACTTAATAAGCTCCTATTATATACCAATCATTGCTCTATGTACTAGGGATCTACAGTGAAAAAAAAAAAACAGATGAAATTCAATTAACTAGTTGGATGTTAAGGATGGGAATTGTATATATAAATATCTCATCAAACACAACATATCAGGTTGTGAAAATTATCGTGGAGAACAGGGGAAGGGGACAGACGGAGGGGAGAAATTACGATTTTATATCAGGTTGTTCAGAAAATGCTTCTCTAATGAGGTGAGTTTTAAAAAGAGACCAAAAGGAAGAGAAGAATGAGGCTAAGAGAAGAGCTGAGTGGAAGAGGTTCCCACCAGAGGAATAGCAAGTGTGAGGGCTGAGAGGCAGGAGGGGATCAGTGTTTCCAGGACTGAGCTGGAGGGACCCGAAAAGGGGCAAAGTCTGGGTCGATTTCATTACATAAGGTCTTGCAGCCCTTGTAAGGGCTTTCCCTTTGAGTGAGATAGAAAGCCATTGGAAGGTCTTGAGTGGATGATGAACAAGGTGTGACTTAGATTTTTACAGGCACATTCTTTACAGCAGACATGAGAGGCAAGAAGTGACACATCTTGAAGTGGCACTCATGGCATTTGCTGATACTCTGCTTGTGGGGTGTGAGAGACGGAGAGGACTCTTTTCATGAATTACGTTAAATTGCAGTTTAATTTTTAATATGGAAAAACCCATAAATGTGTGTAAAAAAGGAAGCTAAGTCCTTCTGGAGCAGTGCTTTGCAAAGCCTGTTCCTTGGTGCTTCTCAGGGGTCCTGCAGAGGATACTGAGGAGGTGCCCTGGACCTCCCATCTCTGTTGGTATGTGATTCAACCAGAGCCATCCTGCTTGTACATTTTTATGTATTGGAGTTCTGTGTGAATTTGCATTGAAAAAAAAGTAAGTGTTAACTATTAGTAATAAAGGAAGTTTAAAGAACATAGCTCTGTATTTAAATCACATAATGACTTATACCAATACTATTTTATAGGAATTGAAACAAGCATAGAGTAACTCTATATCAGAAACTAGAGGCCTAGTGCAAGAAAATTTGTGCACTTGTGGGAGTGGGGGTCCCTCAGGTTGGTCTGCTCCCTATCACAGTCCAGGACCCCTCAGAAGATGTATGACTGCCAGCTTAGGCCTGCTCCCTGGGGATCAGGCCTAAGCTGGCAGTCAGTCATCCCTCTGGCAGCCCAGGAGCCCTCAGGGGATGTCCAACTGATGGCTTAGCACTGCCAAGGAACGGGAGAGGCTCCCACCACCACCACCGCTGTGCTTGCAGCTGTCAACCCAGCTTGTGGCTGAGCAAAGCTACCCAAGTGGGTGTGCACTGACCTAGGTGCACGTCAGAGCAACTGGCCATTCCCAGTCATTCCCCTGTTAGAGTCAATTTTTTTTTTTATATGGATAGGATTAGAAACTGAGTTTCGCTGAGTTAATAACTTGCTTTTTGGAGGCAGTGAACTGTGGTAGCTTCTCTGCAGTGTCAGTTTCCCTGGAATGCATGAGGCTGTGGGGAACCTAGTGCCCAGTGAACCTTTCATGTGATGCACACAGTCAGTATGGAGTGTGCACACAAGATCACTATGAGGTTTTTTATTGATTTTTTACAGAGAGAAAGAGAGAAGGATAGAGAGAAACATCGATGATAGAGAAACATCTATCAGCTGCCTCTTGCACACCCCCTATTGGGGATGTGCCCGCAACCAAGGTACATGCCTTTGACCGGAATTGAACCTGGGACCTTTCACCGCAGGCCAATGCTCTATCCACTGAGCCAAACCGGTTTTGGTTCACTATGAGTTTTTAAGCAGAAAAACTACACCAAAATCCATTCATCTTAAATGTGATTAGTAACTATGGTAGATTTCTGTAGTACATATTGTCATTCAAAATCAGTCAACCATCTTCAAGATGTTTTTTTTTTTTTTCCTCTCTCTTTCTAAATTATATTTCAAAAGGGAGAATTTCAAATTGGCATTTCTTTGATTGAGACTCTCTCATTTACAGTGACTGTTACTATCTTTTTCATTTAAGCAAAAATTAGACAGCTGAGGGAGGAAGTCATTTTTGCAATTAAGTTGAGACGGTGTTTCTGCCGACGTAAGAGACATTCAAGCCTGTAGACAATTTTTATATGAGTTTATCTGAGTCAAACTGACAGTAATTGCCATGAAGCAAAACCTCCACGGATTGAGGAAATGCTCTGGAGAATGTCAGTTTTGCAGTTAATCTTATACATTCCAATTAAAGCAGGAGGCGTGAGGAGGGTCACGTGAAATCCACCCATGACCCATTAGGGAGGCAGGAGAAAGCAGGGTAGGGAAATCTCTGAGATTGGATAAAGAGTAACATGAAGTGACAAATACTTGTAGTTTCTGTGGTTACTGCTCAGAGTTGTATAAGCACCAATGAGGGGCAGGAACAGACTCTTTCCCTCAACTTTTGCAGCCAGAGTCTGGGCCACCAAGGAATGAGGACTGCAGAAACCTGGCATGAAAAACCTGTGCTGAACAACTAGGCAGGTGCAATTGTGAAATTAACTGGGAGCCAGATACAGACTAAGAGCTCCTCAGCTCAGCGTTGCCAATGTTAAACGTCCTGTCTTCCTGCTTGTTGGTGCTCATACAACTCTGAGCAGTAATCGCAGTAATGACGAGCATTTGGCTCTTTTGCCTGACTATTTCATTTGTTCTTAGGGAGACCCCAATTTGTTTGGAATAGGTTAGGCCATAAACTAAACACATATTTGAATTATGAGCAGGTTGAAATCATTTAGCATAAGACAATTTTCTGAATCAAAGAATTCTCTTGGTTTTGTTTTTCTTATAATGACTGATTGTTAGGTGAACGATCATTTTTCAGCAACTGCATGTGTGTATATGTAAAACTTGAGTTTTTAGCAAAGGCCAGCTTAGGAGTACCCTAATTAACTTAATAACAATGTCCCTACCTATATAGTTTAGATTTTAAAAATTTGACTTTCCAAAGACATTTCAATAATTGTACTGTTGATATTTGGCTCTGTTGACTAATGAGTTTGCTGACTACTGGCTTAGAGTTTTTCAATGCATAAAAACAAATTTTATATACATAGGGGTTGTTGTTGTTGTTTAATTCAGAATTTGTCTCATTATTTATCTCTTGTCTCTTTTTTATTTATTTCTTTCTTTTATTTTATTTTGTAATAAAGTTCCATGCTTACTATAAAGAGCCTTCAGGTGAGCAAACAGTACTTTGATCTCTCAGTCTTACCAAGCAGGAAAATAAATCACTGGGAGAAGTCAATAGAATTCTATCTTTTTAACATTTCAGTTTCGTTCATATTTAGCACTTTAAGACATTTTTCTTTTACAGAAAATTTCAATAACTACTGAAGGTTAATTATTCAGCTTGAGCTAGAATATTTGCAGTGTGTGGGGTGGTTGCTTAAAAACCTTTGTTCTGGATATACTTACTGATTGCCTACTGAGTGCCAGGAGCTACACCTGGAGGGAGGGCATACACTCCCTACCCTGAGGAGTTTATAGATGAGTGGGGGCAGAGATGGAGCATCCTTACACAATTGTGTCACAGAATCAGAGGCACTGGGGTGAGCAACTATTAATGGTCCTATAGCAGAGCTAGTTAGTGACTGAGAGTCCCTACTAGGACATGGGGGTGTCTCTAGGGTATATGACAGTCATGTGGCTCTTGAAGGATAATATCAGGCTGAGAGGGAAGGAACAGCATCCCAGGCAGAAGGAAAAAATGTGACAACTGGACAGAGACATGACAGACCAGCCTGTCAAAACTCAGTGAAGCATGTGATTGATAGGCATGGGGTCTGGGCTATATGGGGAAGAGCAAAGATGAGAGAGAGAGAGAGAGAGAGAGAGAGAGAGAGAGAGAGAGAGAGAGAGAGAGAGAGAGAGAGAGAGAGAGAGATTGGTACCCCATTTGGAAAGAGTCTTCTATGCACACGAAACCCTTAGGATGTGACCCTGTCTAGCAGAAGGTGATCCTGGAAGGCTTTTAAGCAAGGAGTCTGCAGTTTGAAAAGACAGTTCTGGGACAGTGTGGTGGTAAGGAGACCAGTTCAGCACTCTCACTGGCTACTGCATGTGGTACCATTTATTCATTCAACAAATATTTTTGCAGCTGATGTCTATATGTTAAATGCTTCTTTTGTGCCAAGCCATGCATCTGTGATTTGTAGTTTTGTTAGTCTTCCTGCTTAGTTGTCTCAATGGCCAATATAGCCCATAAACATACAGTTTCAGTCAATATATCGACCCCTGAGTAAAATTGTCCTACAAAGCTCTTTGTGAAGTGTTGCAGTAAATGGCTGCTTTTGTGTGTGTATAGTTATAAGCTTCTGTTTGTCATTGTGATGATTTTTATGGTTGTCATTTATGATTTCAGGAATATAGAATGTTATCATCTGAAAATCTTAGCTGACATCTAGGTCAAATTCTTTGTTAATGGTGATGTTCACTTAGCTCAGTGGTAGGCAAACTGTGGCTCGTGAGCCAAATGCCGTTCTTGGGCCCCTTGAGTGTGGCTCTTCCACAAAATACCACATGCGGGCACACACATACTGTGCAGTTGAAACTTCATGGCCCATGCGCAGAAGTTGATTTTTGGCTCTCAAAAGAAATTTCATTCGTTGTACTGTTGATATTTGGCTCTGTTGACTAATGAGTTTGCCGACCACTGACTTAGCTGGTTAATTCCAGGGCTGGACTGTGGGCTGTTTGCAAATTGAGGTTCTTGCTTTTTAAGATGCAAAAGACAAGACTTCCATATTAGGTGTTTGCCACATTGACAGACACTTTTTATCTTCTGTATCTATGCTAACACACAGGCCTCATAGTTCCCTACCTGACCCAGGGTTTTACTACTCTCTCATAGTCCCTCCTAGCAAGTTCTTGATTCATAGTTAATTAACCCTGTGGTCCTTTCTTCCAGCAAGCTGATGGATGGTAAACCTAAGAACGTTAAATTTCATTGTCACATGGCGAACCCGGTCATAGCCCCAGCTGCCCACTACTAATAAACTTATGAGTTATAAAACCTTGTCAGCCCACAGCCTCAGATGGAGTAGACATATTCTGCTGTAGTAATGAGTCTTAAGAAGGAAAGTTAAGAAGGTTACAGATGTTTCATAAATGAGAGTTGAGCCTCCCTCCCCGGGGCCCACCTGTACTATCTCTGAGTGGGTCTTGCTGTGTCCACAGACACGGGCTCAGTCCGCAGTTTGCAGACAGGTGTGGGAGAGCTCCATGGGGAAACGCGGTTCTGGCATGGAAAGGATTACTGCAATTTCGTCTTCAAAGACTGGGTCCAGCTGGATAAACCTTTTGCTGGTGAGTACCTCAGTAGTGGATGGCTGCTTCTATTTTCTCTTCTTGTTTGTCAATATCTAACAAGTATGCAAGTGCATGATCTAATGTCTTGTTTTCCTTTGAATATTTGCTAAAACTTTGAAGAATATTGGCTAAATCATAATTCAGTCATATAATTAAGGATTGCTTATAATTATAGTAAGAAAAGAAAAAACACAAAATAGAGCTTTCTTGTTTCAATCATCAGGGAGCCGGCAAGTCCTCCATCTGCTGCCCCCTTCCCCCTCATAGCAGGCCTCTGCCCCTCCAGGCTGCTCCAGGCCTGCATATGCAAATTAACCTCCATCTTTGTTGGGTTAGTTTGCATACCCTGTGGTTGGCTGTGGATGTAGCAGAGTGATGGGTAATTTACATGTTTCTCTTTTATTAGGTAAAATATTTTGGGGATGATGATCTGTCCTTCTCCCAAAACTGGCACAGTCCCTTTGATCTTCTCTTCTGCTTATCATCTTCATTTTTTTATCATTAAATCAACACATTTTTTATATTATCACTGTGCTTCTATGTCTAAGAGGAGATAGACATGGCACTGCATATGTAGCCTGACATTATTTCAACAGGGGAAAAACAGGAAAATATAATATCAAGTACATAGACTTAGTTTGTACCAGCTCACATCTTGCCTTGCCTAGTGACTAATACTAAGTGAAGAGGAAACATATTTGGGGAAGTGCATGGGGGACTGATCTATGCTTCACTTGATTATGAAGGTATTGCTCCACCAAAGCCAAGAAATATACACATAAGTGGACATTACAACGTTCTCTTTGACTTATCATCGTAGGGTCAGCTCTGGGGGGGCATACTATGGCTTCTGCCCCTGGCACAGAAGTGAGTGATGATTCTTGCCTGGTACACCTGGGCAGATTTCATTGACAGGTACTCCACCCCCCGGATGCCATGGCATGACATTGGCTGTGTGGTCCACGGGAAGGCGGCTCGTGATGTGGCCCGTCACTTCATCCAGCGCTGGAACTTCACAAAGGTACATGCATGGCTTTGTCAAGGTTCAGTCCACATACAGAGAGACAGGCCTGGGAGAGGAGACACCTAGGGGGTTGGAAGAGGCCTCGGTGGCCACAGCTGTGCCAGTCATCTGCTGTTGGGTGCCTGGGAGCCAGAGCTCCTGAGTCTCTGGGCAAAAGGAAATGTTTCTGAATGTTCACGTTGCAGATAATGTGGAGCACAGAGGAATAGATGCTACTATCAGGGTCAGTGGTTTTCACCCTTTAACGTCTTGGCTGCTTAGTGTTGATGAAGCATCTGGCCTGGCTGGTGCTCACCTGGAAGGCTCTTGTAGGGGAATGGAAGTCTTGTTTAGATGGCAGAGCTCAAACTTTCAAGTCGTTCCAATCCTGACATTGCACTGGGTTCGTATTGGAGAGGGGGTTCTGAGCAAAGTGAACAGGATGCGGGATGGAGCCATTTTGTTTTTATCCCAATTGTGTCTTCTTTAGGTTGTCTTCATTATGCCTGGGAATTTGACCTAACATTCATAAGTTATTAAGTTTCCTTTTTATTTACTTTAAAAAGTGAAGAGACATTCATTATTCTTCACGGTAATTTGGGAAAAGACTTTTATTAAAAAAAATTACTGTTTATAATGCTATGTAAGTGAAAGTGATATTACTTTTAACCTACGAGGAAAGCAAAGATTTAAAAACAAAACAAAACAAACAAACAAAAAAACACTGCTAATCCTTACAATTGGGTTTTGAATTTTTGATGTTCTTATATCCTGCTTCTGGGGGCTAAATTGGTACAACACCAAAAACCTTCTTAAAAGGTATATAACCTTTTGACTCAGAAAATCTTTTTCAGGCAGTTAAGGAAATAACCCAATTAACTAATTTATTTTATATTGCTTCCAATAATTCAAATAAAATGAAAAGTAACTGAAATGCTTATTAATAGTTATTATTAAACAAGTTATGATTTTTCCATACTACTTGACAAGTTATGATTTTTTTCATATCAAATGGTAATAATTTCCATACCAACTCATTACATGTCATATTTTAAAATAACATATAATGCTATATTGCTATGGCAAGATATCTGCAACATAGTTAAATATTGGTTTACAAAAGAGTAACCCCCTTTTTGCAAATATATATCTCTATAACTCAATTATATGTAAGCTTTCTAAAGAATGCATGCCTACTACAAAAGGTAAAAGAAACAAAAAAGGGGTTCTCCAGCTCTGGGAAATAGAGAAAACAACCAAAAACAATGTATTACCTCTTCACCTAGAAACATCCACTGTTAATTTTTTTTTTCTGTTTCAAATAAACCTGAGTTTCTTTTATAATCAAAATGTGGAAGAATGGAACTGTTTTCTAATTTTTTTTAATTCTTTACCTTCTTTTTAATTGTTTTAGATTATGAAACCAAAATATCGGTCCCTGTCTTATCCTTTTCTACTTCCAAAATCTCACACAACAGCCCATGAGCTGAGATACCAAGTGCCTGAGTCCGTCCGCGCTAACGTGCAGGTCAGTCTCGCTTTTCCTTATCACAAGGCGCTGCTGGGCAAAAGGGCTCTTTCTGGACTACATGCCTGTGCCATTGCTTTCATCACATTTTTCAACGAGGACAACGCCAATCTTTCCAGTACACTTCCTAATTGTATACATTGCTCCCAGAGTTACATAGAATTAGGTCAGCATGTTCGGTGTAAGAATCTTCAAGGTAGCCTGCATTTTCAGAGTTATGCACCCTCGCCACAAAATTCAGCATACGTTTGAATGGATGAAGAATAAAAAAAACTTCTGTTTGTTCAACCTTTGTTATTTCTACTAACGGACAGTAGCGCAGTTCTTTGGGGATGATAGAAAATCAAGATATTTCCCAGTGTGATCCTATTTATCTAAATTTACCTTATGAGTTTTCTTTTGAGATATTTGACTATATCTGGTCATAAGTATATTTTCCAGTTTCATTACACTGTTCATGTGATAAAATTAAATACAGTGCTTTTTAGGGGGCTATTTTGTAATAAATGCCACACACTGTATAATTAAATAAGATTGTTAGGATGGCACAATCAATGATATTAGTACGTTTTAACTTTGAATTTCCATAGCCTTATAGATCCAATTTTTGAAGTTATTGATTGGAGCAAAAATTGCACCAGATCTTTTATATACAAGAAAGGCAAAAGTAGGTTTACAATTGTTCATTTGTGGGGAGGGGAGGCATGCCAGTTAAATATATAGCAATACAAGAACAAACCCTGTTTCCTATTCGCACAACTGTAAACCTATTTTTGCCCACCCCTTTATAACAGACAAAACTGACTATGCATTGGATCATTTTATGCATTCCTAATAAGTATAGGTTATTATTTTTCCTTCAATTTCTGTTGACCTCATGAAGCAAAGCCTCAACATTCATTTCAAATCAGGAGTAGGAAATCTATTTTTAAAGTGATGCTTATGTGATGTCCTGTTATTACTTAGGGAAGGTCAATTAATAAACATCTACTGAGTACCTACTATATGCCCAACACTGTACTGTGATACTAGTCCAAATGCTGACAGCCAATGGTTTCTTAGTGTTGAAAAGCCTTCCCTGTCATCTAGTGTGCCCTCCCAAGCACAGCCACAGTCTACTCTGCAGCATCGCTAACATGATCTGCCACCACTCAAACACATCCTTTAATGTTCTCATGAGTGATAGCAAACAGTAACAGCCCTTACTAGATGCCAGGCTCCTGCACATTCCATACTAACTCATTTAATTCTTTTTACCAACCTCCAGAGTAGATACTCCATTTTATAGAGTGGGAATCCGAGGCACAAAGAAGCTAAGAAACTTGACCAAGATCAAAGCCACTAAGTAATTGAGCTAAGCTTTGAACCTAGGCCAGTGGTCGGCAAACCGTGGCTCACTAGCCACTTGAGTGTGGCTTTTCCACAAAATACCACATTCAGGCCCGCATGTACAGTGTGATTGAAACTTTGTGGCCCATGCACAGAAGTCAGTTTTCATTAGTCAACAGAGCCAAATATCAACAGTATAACGATTGAAATTTCTTTTGAGAGCCAAATTTTTTAAACTTAAACTTCTTCTAATGCCACTTCTTCAAAATAGACTCTTCTAGGTCATGGTATTTTGTGGATGAGCCACATTCAAGAAACCAAAGAGCCGCATATGGCTGTTTGCCAACCACGAACCTAGGCAGTCCTCCTCTGTGTCAATGTATTTAACATATACTCGGGTGTCTGTGCTGGAAGCTCTTATTGTAATCTGGGTGGGAGCAGGTGAGTGTCTGAACACAGGGAGACAGCATGAGTGAGGAAGTGGAGAGCTCAAGTGACAGGGCCAGGATCAGTCAGCTAATTAAAAGTAGAATCAAGATTAGATCTCTAAATGACTCTAATTGCTTTTTAGCATATAGTAACCAGAACAGTATCTATTTGAGGGAAAGGGAGTAATCATATTATTTTCAAGTCAGAGCTAGGGTGGTCCTATCATATGGTTCATACCAGGACACTCTCAGGAGTATAAGTGGTACTATTAATAAATGCACCATAACACCAGGCATTCTGGTGAAATTGTGGAATTATCCTGGGAGAAGTACAAATGGGCACCCCACTCAGCCACCAGATGAGGTACTCCTGAAATACTCTTGATAGAAACACCTTCTTGTTTCCCATTTTGAATGACAATTGTGTTGAGTGGGAGAAGACATGTTCAGTACTTGATTGCCAGCTGGGCTCCTTTGTTATGGGTTATGCCCACCCACCTACTCTCCCTTGACCCACACGTGACACTCAAACCATTGTATTCATTTAGTTGTTTAAAAGCAAAAGGGCAGATTTCATTGTATCAGTGCATCTTGTGTGATCTCCATTGTCTTACGTTTGCTCATTTTTTTTTATTGTTGCCTCATAGTTGCTCCGCTCTGCCACTGATTGGTCTGCTGGGATAAAGTACCATGAAGAGTCCATCCACACTGCGTATGTCCATGTGATAGAGAACAGCAAGCACTATATCTACATAGAAGTAAGTCTTGCTCATGTAAATTGCTATGACAACCTGCCTTCCCATCAATACCATAGACAAACTGCAGGGTCCCTGACCTCAGGACCTCCTGTATTAAGTGTATGTTGAGATGTGAAGAAGCCTTGGGCCACCTGAACTTTTACTTCCCCAGCACACCTGACATTTGGTTTGCATTTTTGTTAACTCAGGACTCTGATAGGAGTCCCCAGCTCCTTTTATTAAATGTATTAACTCATTGTAATGTTAATAGTCAGATATACCGCAACATGGAGGTATAAGTTTAGATTTGGCTGGAATTGGAGGGTGAAGTGTGAGGCACATACTGCTTCAGGGGAGCAGGCACAAGGGTAAGTTGCTAAAATAGAGAGCCCTGGACGCCACTGGTTTGGAGAGTGCAGCAAAGGAACATGGAAAAGGAAGATGTAAGAATATTGAGGGCAGGCACCACCTTCCTGAGTCCTGTGTGAACAACGATTTATTACAAAGCTTTTGCAGATCCCAGAGTTTGTGTCCAAAGAATAGGAGAAAACCTAGGGGACACTGGGTTTTACTCTGGGAACTTGGCAGTCCATCCTAAGCTACCTTGGAAAATCCTGACAAAATAAAAAGTCATGACAATGCAACAATCATTCAGAGCACGCCTTCCTTTTTTATTTTAGTCCTGTCTTTTCCATTGAGTTTTATAAAAACATATAAGTTTAGGTATATGGGAGATGCAGTAGCTGGAGAAAATCATTCCAGCCCTTTTTTCCTCCTGCTTGAGTTTTGACCCTCTCCCCTTCCACCCAGTGACTATTTAAGGCAAGTAGGAAAGAATTAGAGATTTATTTTTTTCACAGACATGGAAAAAGAGAAGACTGATTAAAAATATTGGCAGGCTAAATGCAATGTGGTATCCCAGATAGGAGTGTAAACAGAAAAAGGACATTACTGAACTCTAGATAAAGTCTGGAGTTTAGAAATATTGATATGATTAGTGATATTAATTTCAAAAATTTTAGCATAATAATGTGAGGTGTTAACAGCTATATAATCTAACAGTATATATATAACAGTAATATAACCCATTACCAACAATCCTTTTGCTTTATATCTTTTTGGTAGCAGTAAGTCAGCTTTTCTTATTAATGACTAGAAGCCTGATGTATGAAAATTCATGCACTGGAGTGGGGGTTATCCTCAGTCCAGTCTGCCTCCTCTCACAGTCTAGGAGCCCTCAGGGGTGAGAGGCGACCCAGCAATCAGGGGAAGGCATTGCCCCCATCACACCTCTGCTGCTGTCACTGCCACAGTGTAAGCCTCAGCTGGCCCTGGTTATCTGAGCCTGGGCAGCCCTGAGTGGCTGAGCAGCTGCTATCTGAGGCTTGCCTGCACCTCGGGCCAGCCCTGGGTGGCTGGGGGGCTGAGAGGACTGGGGAACTCCAGAGGCAGGTGCACAGAGCATACCTTGCTGTGTGCCTGCCATCCCAGCAGGGCTGAGGGGACTGGGCATCACCATCTTGTGGCTATGGGCGCTGCCATCTTTGTGGGCGGGGCAGTCAATTAGCATATCCCCTCTATTAGGTAGTATACCCCAGTACTAAATGAGATCAGTAATGCCATGTTGATACACATGGATGAGGATAATAACCAGGTGGACACACCTCTAGGCAAAGTAAGCAGTCAGCATCACCCTGCTCTCCTCCAAAAAGAAGTAAGGACGTGACATGTGCCCAGTGTGTATTACAGCTGCTGAGCAATGCTAAGCTTCTCCATAATATAAATTCAGAAAAAACAGACATGGTTTGGTTGCCACTGAGATTTTGATTGTTTGACTCCCTAAGGGGAAATACATTCTCAAATGAGTTTCTGCACAGTGTTCTCTTGTAAATTTGTCTTCTGGAGGCAGTTTACAGATTTAGGCACTTAAGTGTTATCACGTGTATAGTAATAAACATGATAATTGCAAAGGGATGATAATGTATTGACTCATTGTTTATATACCTCTTTAGGATGATTAGCAAAGGTTACTTGGTGATGACTATATTAATGCTATAGGTATTTTATAATAACGTATAAATAAAACATGTAATAGTGATAATATTTATGTCTAATTTTTATCATCCCTTTATGCAGCAACTAAATCTTTTATACCATTATAATAATGTTGTAACCTAGTTTTTTAATAATAGTATTGTAGAATGTTTTATAGATGCATAAATAAGAGAAGTACTTAAACAAAAAAGATATAACAATATTTCTCTTTCTATTTTATTGGTATACATATAAGAGATTTTAAGCTACTTGAAATAGAAGTTGAGGAATAATAAGAGACTCAAGCAAATGAGCTAAAGCCAAAGCATACACTAGTTAATAATGGAAAAAGGGTGGAGAAAATTTGATCATCATTCTGCCATCTACCCTGTTAAAAAAGTAAACTTTGCATGAGATAGATGTTTGTTGACAGAATTTTTTAATTAAATTTATTAGGGTGGCATTGGTTAATAAAATGACATAAGTTTCAAGTCTACAATCTATAATAATAAAAGTGTAATGTGCTGATTAGACCAGACTACCTTCTGGACGAAGCTGGTCTACGAGGAAAGCCCTGGTCCTGGGTGCCAGAGGGAAGCCAGTACTAGCAGGCAGCCGGGGGAAGGAAGGCCTACTCTTGCACAAATTTCGTGCATTGGCCTCTAGTTCTATATAATCCATCATTTGTGTATTATATTGTGTATTCACCACCCCCAGTCAAGTTTCCTTCTGTTACCATTTATCCATCTTTACCCTCTTCAATCTCCCCCCACTCCATTCCCCTCTGGTAATTACCATACTGTAGTCATTCTATAAGGTTTTTTTTTTGTTGTTTAATTTCTTCACCTTTATCACTCATCTGCCCCTCTCCCTCCCCTCTGTCAGCAGTCAGTCTGTTCTCTGTATCTAGACAAGATATAATTTTTAATCCTAAGCATTTATGCAATGTGTGAATCTGAAAAAAAAAATTCAATGTCCCTTAAGTTTGGAATGTTCCTACCACTCTAAAAACATAACCTACAAGGAATGGGCATGATGAAATAATAGTTTAGCCATTCGCTCAACTAAGATGCTACACCTGTTATTACCGGGGAATGTATAGGATCCAAAGTGAGATGAGGTTTCTTTTATTCTGTGGTTTACTTCCCTTGGGTGATTTCAGGGGTCAGACCATGTCTGCTATGTGAAATGTTTTGTTTGTTTGTTTTTAATATCAATGTAGAGTATGTTATACACCATATTTTATAAATATATATACATTAGAGGCCCGGTGCATGAAATTTGTGCATGGGGTGGGAGAGACACAGAGTGTCCCTCAGCCCAGCCTGCACCCTCTCCAATCTGGGACCCCTCTCAACTCAGGACTGCTGGCTCCCAACTGCTCGCCTGCCTGCCTTTCTGATTGCCCCTAACAACTTCTGCCTGCCACCCTGATCATCCCCTAACCACTCCCCTGCCAGCCTTATTTATGCCTAACTGCTCCCCTGCCAGGCTGTTTGCCCCCAACTTCCTTCCTCTGCTGGCCTGGTCACCCCTAACTACCTCCCCTGCAGGGTTGATCACTTCCAACTGCCCTTCCTTGCAGGCCTGGTCCCTCTCAACTACCCTCCCTTGCAGGCCTGGTGCTTCCCAATTGCCCTCCCCTGCTGGCCATCTTGTGTCCACATAGGAATAGAATCTTTGATCACATTGGGGCAACCTTATTGTGTGTTGGAGTGATGGTCAATCTGCATATTACTCTTTTATTAGATAAGATAGAGGCCTGGTGCACAGGTGGGGGCCAGCTGGTTTGCCCTGAAGGGTGTCCTGGATCAGGGTGGGGTTCCCTTGGGGTATGGGGTGGCCTGAGCAAGGGGCCTGTGATAGTTTGCGGGCCGGCCACTTCTGGTGACACAGTGGAGGCCCTGGTATCTGGAATTTATTTCCCTTCTACAATTGAAATTTTGTAGCCTGGAGTGGAGCCAAGCCTCCTGCTCGCTCCGTGGCTGCAGCCATTTCTGTTTGGATTTGTTTACCTTCTATAATTGAAACTTTGTAGCCTTGAGTGGAGACTTAAGCAGGTAAGGGCAGGTGGAAAGCTTGGCTTCCTCTGTTGCCTAGGAAACCCAAGCCTGCTCTCTGTGGCTGTGGCCATCTTGGTTGGGTTTATTTGCATACTCACTCTGATTGGTTGGTGGGCGTGGCTGGTGGATGTACCGAAGATATGTTTAATTTGCATATTACTCTTTTATTAGGATATGTACTGTGTATTCACACACACACACACACATCCACACACACTCTACTAAGCTATGAAAGACTTACATAGTTATCCTATTGATTTTTCATAGAACCAGTTTTTTATAAGCTGCGCGGATGACAAAGTTGTGTTCAACAAGATAGGCGACGCCATTGCCCAGAGGATCCTGAGAGCTTACAGGTACAGTGCTTGGCATTTTGGCAGGAGTGTGACTGCAGATCATTTTGCATTTACTGCTAAAAACACTTTTGAAGGCCATATTTTAAAAACTGTCTTTTCCTAGCAGACATGATTTAGTTCAGCGAGCAGTAGGTTATTGATTCTTAAGTCTGAGTCAGTCACCGAGAACTTTTGAGTCCATTTTTTAAGGGAATGTGAATTCTTCCAGAGCACAGTCATTTTTTCCTGGCCAGTCTCTTTCCCACACAGATTTGTGATGTGATTTTTTTTAATAGCAGACAGTGAGCTGTGTTTACTTACAAAACAAAACAAAATAGTCATAATGTTTTTCCATGAGTTATATTTAAATTTCTTGTTATCATCTGTCTTACTTCTTCAGCTCATGCTATTATTTCTTTAATAACACTTTTATTAAAATATAATTCACAAAATATAATTCACAATCTACCCGCTTTAAGTCTACAACTCAGTGATTTTTAGGATTTTAACAGACTTGTGCAATCATCACCTAATCAAATATTGCCATCACTTCAGAAAGAAACCTTATACCTTTGTCATTGCTCATTCCTCTTCCCCTTAGCCCCTTGCAACCACTAATCTACCTTCTTTTCTGTAGAAATGCCTAGTCTGGGCATTTTATATAAATAAAATCATATAATATGTGTTTTTTTGTGACTGACTTCCTTCATTTAACTTAATACTGCCAAGGTTCATTTATGTTATGGAATGTATGAGTATTTTATATAATTTGGTTGTCAGGTAATATTCTGTTATCTAGACATACTAAATTTTATTTATCCATTTTCAGTTGGTGGATAATTGGACTGTTTTCACTTTTTGGTTATATGAATAATGCTGCTACAAACATTCTATACTAGTTTTTATGCAGATATGTTTTCATTACTCTAGGAATAGAACTGCTGGATTATATGGTAATTCTTAAACAAACCATTTGCAGATCTGCCAAGATGTTTTCAAAAGTGACTCTACCTTTTTACATTCCCACATTGTATGAGGGCTCCAATTTCTTTACATCATCGCCAATACTTATAATCTGTCTTTTTTTTTTTTTTTTATGATAGCCATCCTTGTAGGTGTGAAATGGTATCACATTATGCTTTTGATTTGAATTTCCCTAATGACTTATGATGTTGAGTATTTTTTTTCTGTTTATTAGTCAGTTATGAGTTACCTTTGGAGAAATGTCAATTGAAATTCCTTGCCCATGGTTCAGTGAAGTTGTCTCCTTGTTGAATTATTAAGATTTATTTATATATTCTGGATACAAGTATCATCAGATTTATGACTTGCAAATATTTTCTCCCACTCAGTGTGTGTGTTGTTTTGTTTGTTTTTTTTTGTGTGTTTTGTGTGTGTGTGTGTGTGTTTTTGCTTTCTTGATATGGCAGTATCCTTTGAAACACACGCACAATTAATTTTGGTGAAGTCCAATTTATCTATGTTTCTTTTATTGCTTTGGTGTCAGAGCTCCATAACTAATGCCCAATACAGGACCATGAATCTTTCCTGTTCTTCTCTTCTAAGAATTTTATAGTTTTAGCTCTAACATATAGTCTTTGATCCATTTTGTGTTATTTTTTTTTTTTGCACATGGTGGGAAGTAGAGGTTCAATTTCATCCTTTTGCATATGGGTATCCAGTTGTTTCAGCACCATTTGTGGAAAAGCCTGTTCTTTCCCCACTGAATTTTCTTGGCCCCCAGGTCTATTTCTTTCTATGGCTGATTTTAGCTTTGTGCAAAACCAGCAAAATAAACAAACAAAACCATTCCATTTTGTTTTTTCATTTCAATTCATTGAACAGTGGCTAATGTTAAATGGATACACATTCAGGAATTAAAACACTTTCTGATTTCCAGTGGTACTTATTATATTTTCTTCACATAATATATGAAGATTTTTGGACCTAAGAACATTTAATAACAGTAACTACCAGCATTTTAGGTGGTTAATAACAGTTTATTTATACAGACTCTTACTGAATATTCACAACTACTTTTGAAAGTAGATTATAGTTTTTGTTGCTATTATTGTTGTTGTTGAACCTATTTTTAGAGTTAAAAAATGATGATGTGACTTGCCTAGGCTACTAACAGCAATGGGCAAAAAAGGTTTTGAGCTCGAGTCCTACCCAATGCCTTCCCACATCATGTAACTCTAATTCATTAATGGCTAGGATTAATGATCCCTTTCATAGTTTCCCCAAATTAAGGCAAGAGGTGAGGCCTTTGTTTCCCCCTCCTCCCATTAACCGGTTATTACATGCAGGCTGACCACAGGAGAAGGGTGTGGCCATGGGTGGAGCATAGCCTATGGTGGATAATTCTTGGAGAAGGATTTCCCCATGAGTAGTCAGTGTCCAACAGTGGCTGAGGGAATGGTTGTCTTAATCCCTCAGGAAGAACATCTGGGCAGTATACCAGCACCATAAAACCTACCCATCCTGCAGGGTGCACAGTGGGCCTTTACTACACAGCAGAATCATCAGAGGACCTTCCCAGAAATATAGATCTGGACTCAACTCTAGGCTGAATGGATTTAACTTCCTGGAATAGGGCCCAGGTGCTTATCCTACCTAATAAAAGAGTAATATGCAAATTGACTGCACCTTCACTATGCCTAAGCCACACCCACTAGTCAATCAGGGTGAACATGCAAATTAACCCATGTTGGTTAATTTGCATATTAAGACAGTGTAGAAAGAAGCCAAGTGCTGCAGAAGAGAGGGAAGCTGCTGAGAAGCAGGCAAGCCGGGCAGGGGGGAAGAAAGAGAAGCAGGTAGGGTGAGGGAGAGTGCAGCAGGAAGCCCTATTGTAGGTACCTTCCTGCAATGGGCTACTAGTACTTTACAATCTTCTATAGGTAACTTTAGGGCACAGCTAAGATTGCTTAGTGCTTATCTAGAACAGCGTATGTGGTCACAAATGTAAATAATGGTCTGTGCTTTTACAGGTGACCTTTACCTTTGCTTTCCCATATACTTTTTAAAAGAAAGCCACTTTAAGACTTATTTTTGAGATGACTTTTTTTTAAAGTCTTGCTTGCAGTTAGTCATTCTTGTACACAAACATTTCTTGCATTCTTGCCAGCCCTCCAAGTCTATGGGTCAATTTATATCATATTTTCAAAATTACATTATATATTTGTCAACTCTTTGCATTTTATGATGCAGGGCTATCCATTTTATCTAGAAAGCGCGTTTGACAAAAAGGAAAAATGATTTTCTCATGAAATTGGAAGAAGTCACATTAAATTGACAAGTGAGTTCATTGGGCTGAGCAGTGAGTCATGAAATTTGGAACTGTGAACAGATCATAAGGAGAGTAGCTTGTGCACCTTCAGTCTCCACTTCACTTATTTCAGTTATTAGTTCCCTAGAGTACATGTTCTCATTAGTACCTGTAAGATTTCTTCTTAAGTGTTTGGGAGCCTAGAAAAATATTGTTCCTTCATATATTGCTCTGTCTTTAAAAATCTGACTACTTCTAAAATCGTAGCATTTATGGCTGGAAAGAACCTTAAGCTACCTTCTGATTGAATATTTCCTGATGAGTCTATGGGCTGCTTCTGAAAGGAAAAGGAATTCATGGTAAGAGAGCATGGAAGGTAGCATCTGTTGCAGATCATATCACATGCATTGAGGTTCACAGAGCACATTCAAGACTGGCTATTGCCCCTACCTGGGTAGCTTAGCTAGTTAGGGTGTCATCCCAATATGCCAAGGTTGTGGGTTCGATTCTCAGTCAGGTCACATACAAGAATCAACCAATGAATGCATAAATAAGTGGAATAACAATCAATGTCTCTAAATAAATTTTTAAAAAGTAAATAAATAAAATAAAGAAGACTGGAAATTTCAAGCTTACTTTGTAAACAATAGAAAGCAAGTCCATCAAATTTCAAATTATCTCCAATTTTATCCAGGTTGCTGAACATCATGCTGAGTGAAATAAGCCAATCAATGAAAGAGAAACACCACATGACCTCACTCATTTATGGATAATAAAGAACATTATAAACTGATGAACCAAAAGATAGATATATAGAGACAGTAAAGCAACAAGCAGACTGTCAAATTACAGTGGGGAGGGGAGGGAGATCTGGGGGAGATAATAGATCAACTGAAGGACTTGTATACATGCATATAAGTACAACCAATGGACATAAAACTCTGGAGAGGGAGGGTATGTATGGAAGGGAGGGAGGGGGGCAAAAAAATCAATAAAATATATTTTAAAAAAACCACAAAAAAAAACCTTAAAATATTTGAAAAAAATTTTTTTTCAAATTATCTGCGGGTCCTTTACCTCTGATATCTCCAGTCTCACTTTCTTTGACAATCACATTTCAAAATGATATGTCTATCACACTTTCAAAGTTTTAGTCGATTTCCACACATATTCTGGAAATATATTTTATATCTTCTCCTTCTCTGTATCTCACATTGTTGTTGATATTCTGTGTTAATTGCATATATATATATATATATATATCCTAAACGACCAGCTGTCTGTTCCGCCAGTAGCTATGACATGCAATGACCAACAGGGAGCAGACCTCAACACAGGAGCAGCCCGAGCTGTGGTGACTTGGCAGCTGCAATTCTCAGGTGATGCACCAGAACCAGAGAGGAGGAAGCCGGATTCTGGGGTGCATCACCTGAGAACCACCCTCTCTCAATCCAGGACCCCTCAGAGGATATTAATAGAGCTGGTTTCAACCCCATCCCCACAGGCCAGGCTGAGGGACACCACCTGTGCATGAATCTGTGCATCGGGCCTCTAGTAAAATATATTTCCATTTATTAATTTCAAATCCGTGAGCTTGTATGCTTAGGGAAGGTAAAGGTAGAAGTGAAAAGCTCATCTTGCAGGCTCCCTGCAGTAGAGCCCCTCCTTTTCACTGAGTGCCAGGATGGTGCCACCCCAAGCTTTCCCTCCTCCCTCTGTTCATTGGCTTCTCTGCTCTCCACTCTCCAGA